TTTATCGAATCTTCAATAAACATATGTATTCTATATTTTATTAACTAATTTCCAGTAAAAACTATTATAGCTCATCAATTATGAAATACATACGTATTAAAAAAGTAAAGAGTTAATTGTGTTATAGTCGTTAGACTATTACATTGTAATATATATATAATATATATACATGTACAATATATATATACTTTATATACTATTTTACTATATATTATTTATCAAAATTATTTTTTATACTTGCACACAAAAATATAATAAAAAAAAGTAAATATTTAACTGTGGTACTACACAATAAGCATATTATTATTGTTTTGGTGGAATATAGTATCACTCGTTATCTCAATCAATGGTAAAGAGAAGATACCTACACTTTTGGGAGATTATGACCTATACATCGGCCACAATAAGTTTCTCTAAACAGTCACTTTATATGCGTTCTATAAATAAATTGAATGGTTCAATGTTAGTTTCAAATGCACTTCAGTGAGATTCTATAATAACGGAACTAAAACATAATGGTAGGATTATGTAATAACAACGAGGCATCTATTCAAGTATAACAGGTAATGTAGGAGTTAACCGTCCATTAGTCAATTGTTTTAGTCAAGTGATATTACTATAACTATGTGTATACTTTCCAATGGACTCTGAAAAAAATTATTTATTTTTGAACAAACAAACAGTGTATTAAACAGACTTTTAAAATTGAGCTTTTAAATTTAATTAATAATTTATAATACAATCAACTTACATTGTTGTTTATAGAAAAAATAATTATGATTTTAACTGAGAAATTTTATAATTTTTAATAAACATTAAACAAATATTGATAACACAAAATTTACTTTTAATAATATATTATGTAGTACCTATTTATACATCAATAGTTGATAAATTAAATTTCATTATTTTATCCTTCTAAAAAGTGTTTTTTAAATTGAAATTTATCAAAAATTTTAGTACCTACATTAATATTTTCGTAAAAATTAAATTGAATATCACTATATATTTACGGAGTTTAATGCCTTATAAATATACGTAATGTTTAGAAAATAAATAATACGGAATACACTTAAAAATATAAGGCATTTGTCTTTTCGATTATTTGTGAGCTCCCGATGATGGGTTAGTCCTGTGTTAATTTATTAATTTATTTTTCGATAAACTCGAAAAAACCCATGTACCTTTATATATTAAAATTTATTTTACAATATGTATAAGTCAGGATAAGTTCGCATTTACCACTTAAATATTTCATCATTGGTGCGAGATTGTATAATGTTGACAAAAGAGGTGTCGAGGGAAATTGAAAAACGGTATCACGATAACAATAGAAATCGCGAGGGAAAAAATAAGAGAAGTTGCTTCGTCACCGACATAGTATAATATATTTATTTATATATAATATATAGTACATTGGGTATTTTCAAAATGTATTTCACAGAGGACGAGAGGTGAGGTGCGCAAGTTAATCAGATTTAAATTGAATCGCATGTACCCAGAAAATTGATATTCCACTGCGGTTGACACGTCTATTTGCCCCGCAGGGTAGGGCTTGTAGATACTCTTTGACAAGTCTGCTGTGGTGTAATTGGAACATCCAGTTTGTAGACCGCGCCGCAAGGTAGAAACCTTATTAATTTGGCAAATAACACCTCCGGTTTTTCCACCCTGTCATTATCAATTTTCGCTTTTGCAAACGTGCAAAGTTGCGTCCCCTTTTCCACCACCAATATACGCAGTAATATAATAATACTGTTAAATAGAATATTATATAATAGGTCAAATATATATATATAAAAAAATTATACTTAAACCATGATTATTTTAGTCAAGAAACGAATGAATCGAGATACATAAATTTATATTCAACTCTATTCGAAACTAAGCGATTTTTTATGCTAAAATAAATAAATAATATATGATATATGTATTATGTATATTGTAACGAAATGTATTATATCTCAAACATTATACGGGAAAAAAATAAATTAAACATAAAGCACATATATTTTAATATTTTAAAATTTACGCGGAGAATGGTGAGTAGAATGACTTTATAATATTATAGTGCATTTATAGAGGAAAAAATTGTTTCCTTGATGTTAACGTTAACATTAGTAGTTTATAACAAAATTTAATAATATTTAATACATAAAAATGTGGTTATATATAAATAATGATATTTTAATGGTTAAGTATATTTTTCTATTTCATATATAACATATTATTAATTATATTGTCTATTTTGTTGGACATCTTTTAAACTGAAAAAAGTAGAATACGTCTAGTTTAATCTCTCTCCTGTATAGTTTATGCCGAGTAGTATATCATCTTTGACTAAGTCGTGGTAATAGATGTGATACATTAAAATTCAATGATAATTCATTGCATTCAAAAAATGATTCTAATAGTAGAGATTGTCTGTCGACCTATTTATTATTGAATTTATTTTGTAGAACTATATTAATATTTTTTTTTAAAGTAATTGGCTTTAACATTAATAATACGATGTATAAATAAACAGTAGCTTAAAATCAATCCAGGATTTTAAAATTGTCATTCGTATAGTAAAATATGATAGGTGCCAACCAATTTCAAGTTCTAAGATATTTTTGAACTAATATAATAAAATAAACTAAAATTGTTATTCGTCATTTAAATGTCCAATTACGTAAAACTGAATTTAAATTTTCATAAAAAATCGTGCTTTTTTGTTTTTTATATTTTTGAATTTAGTAACAAATATTTATCAGGAATATAATTTACATAATGTATTACAAATTCAAGCCTTAACTATAAACATAAAATATTTTATATATTTTTAATTATAAGGTATTTCCCAAATTTTAACGATTTTGATAAATGTTGTCAACATTTGAACTCCAAATACTTATGAAATAAAATTGTGCCTTTATTATGTTTTAATATTTTTAAATATCTATAAGAATAATTTGTTTAGGATCTTGTTTTATATTTCTGAGCTTTTAAATTAAACTAAAACATTTTTATACTCATTTATTTATCTTAAAATAATTATATAATCATTATTTAACTGTAATAAGTAATAACTATTTTTCACTTATTCACTATAGTGATAGATTTTGAGCATATAACTTTTTTTGTTTAGTTAAAAAAGTGGTAAACCAGTAATACCGATTTTTGAAACAGAACTGTTCTACCTAAATTAAATGTTTTATTTTGATCGTTGACCATAATATATAATTGTAATAACTATTCAAACTATTCCTAGTATACAACACTTAATAACAATTATTATTTTTTTTAAATATATATGATTTCATTATTTTTCAAACCATTGTTTTAAAAAAAATAATATTATTATGTCAAGTATATGTATATAATCATAATTTCTATATTTTTATGTATTAACAATAGTGTTGGCAATGAACATTTTAGTTTTATTATAACTTTACCGTTTACTCGTTTACAGTGGTTTCAGTTTCATGCGAATCGGGTGAGACATTTAGACAGAAACGTGCACAAATATTATCGGCAGGAAAGCCAGAGATAATTTGCAAGTATTCATTCACGTTCAAGCTTTACTATTTTATCGTTTAAATTTTCGAGTTCTAAATATTATTCAGGGCTGGTAATATTTCTTAACTATTTTTACCTCAGAATGTGTGCATCGATTAGGAATACACGTAAATCACACATAATGTCACCTTCAATATAACATCACAAAATAAAACAATATTATTTACAAATTTATGGTTATATTTTATGAACCACGATAAGCAATTATAATTGTAGTGACTGATCGCAGTCTACACCAAGGATATCTGGATGTAAATTGTGATTTACAACTGGCACGTTTGTTCTAAAATCATGCATATATGTCAACAAATTATTTAGTATACATATATTCTAACACATATGCATAATGCTTTAATTTTTTATAGAACATAAATGATTACCAATATAATCGTGAACACAGAGTAGTCAACATCTTACCTCAACAACCTGTGCGCTTATTTATGATTAAAATTTACAATTTTAAATTAATAATAAAACTAAAATTTAAATTGATCGCAGTTGATCTTCCGAGAATATAATCAATGTATGATTTAATATCTCACATGCGATTTATGACTATTATATTCTTGTTTATACGAGTATATGTGATATATTAATTTGAATTTGTGTATTTAATACAAATCATTATGTAATGATATGATATTGTGAAGGCTGATGGACACCTAAAATTTGAAACACGCTCGTGTGATCAATGCTCACTATACATAACGTAATGCAGCTGTTCCGTTCTTTAGCAACATCACTGAATTATTTTCACTTTACTTTAGATCTGAACAGAACACCTAGAATTCAGATGAATAACGCGCACATACTAGACACTGTTGAAAATAAGCTTTTAAACTCACCGTGTTTGATGATTGTTTTTATCGCTTTTAAAATTTAAATGACACCTTTTTGATATTTTGCTACATTGACTTTTCTTTTCAAAAACTGACGTTTGAATGTTTGCAATAAAAAAAGTTTTCTATATCAGTTATTCTGTTTAATATTGTCGCCATCGTATTTGAGTGTTTTATATTATATTTGATGATTTGTGACACACTCAAAACGTCGGTGTACAATTACACATGTACGATACATACTAAATGATAATATGATGTGTGTAGACGAGCGGGGGTAGTAAACCAATAAAAAGAACAACGTTGATTACGACCAGTGTTGCACTCCAGCGGAATCGGATTTCAAATGGGACGGAACGAAGAAAAAAACGTCAATAGTCAATACTACATTTTATTTAAATTTTAAAACAGTTTTTAAACACAGTATAAGCAAACGTTTGTATTCATTAAATCAAATAAAAAATAACGTAGAAATAGTTAGAATCCTATAGTAATAATAATATGTTTAAGTGCTACGGCTAGATTCCGAAACACAATTTTAATAATAATAATAATAATAATAGTAATAATAGGCGCTTAAAGTAATATTAAATGTATTAATGTATATAATATCAATCGTATTGAGTTTTGTTTTGTAATTATTTACAGTCAGCATAATATCAATATTTTATGTTGGCATACTTTGCGCGTTCACGTCAAGTAATACGCGCACACAATAATATGTCAATACACAGTTTATTATGACATCGTCGGTACACACACACACACACACACACACACACACACACACTCAATAACACGACGCACAACAGTGTGGAGTTGAACAATTAATTGCGAGCGTGTATGTGTGCAACAGCATATAATAATATAACACACGAATGTACATAATATTATTATATGTTATATTGTTCGCGGCTATGTTTATATAAATATTTAACGACATATTGTTTGAAAAAATCATCCTTTCGACGGATTGGCGAACGTTTTAAATTATTCAAATACGTTTCGATTTAACGCTATAACTGGTTTTCTAATAATATGTACACGGACAAACATTCAGTTGATTTTTTATTTTTTTCTTCATCATTATATATATATATATATATATGTGTGTGTGTGTGTGTGTGTGTATAATTACACTAAAACTATAAAAACGATTTTTTCAAAGCAATCATACCAATATATGTGTAATGCAATATGGGTATACAAGGTACACGTAATTATTATAAAAGAATGTATTAACATTCGTTTGAAAATGTATCTTACAAAACGCGTAATATCACGTAAGTACCTACTGCGTAACATAATATATATCGAGGCACTCGAGGAAGATCTGCACGCATTTAAATTATTCAGAAAACGTGATTGTTTTCACGCGATAGGAGATACCTCTACTCGAACAACCCAGATTGTTCGCATTCATTCCTGCAGCGGTTCGCCGTTTCATCACGTTTTCCGAGTATTTGCGTCCGAAGTCGCGTACGACGCGTATAGTGATTTCGAAATTACATAAAATATATCGTTAAATAAAAAACGAACGAATTATCGGTATATTGTACCTACGCACGCGCTCACGTCGTGAACGCGCCGATGTCGACGAGGTAGGAGGGGCGATCGGAGATGCGAAGGAGAAGGAGAAGGTTAGGTAGATTTCCGGAGACCGTGGTCTTCGAATATCCACTCCAGAAAAATAATAATGTAATATTATTATTACGAGTTGTTTTTGGTTTTTTTTTTTTTTTTTTTTTTTTTTTTTTTTCCACATAGAAATAAAAACGTACAGGCCTGCCGTCGCTCAACGCGCGTGTCGGCGCTGATGGGTCGACGCGGTCGGCCGACGCATAAACTTACGGACGCGAGTGGGCGCGCGTGCGGACGACGGGTGCAGGTGCGGACTCGGCGCTGCGACGCGTTTTCATCAGTCCGAGTACGACGTCTTGTCGGAACCGGGTGACGGTGACCGCGGCGACGTCGCCGCCTGGTTCAGGTGGTGCGACTGGTACGTCATGGCGTGCGGGTGAACGGTGGTGAGGTGGTGCAGTTGCGGTTGCAGATAGTGGTGAATCGGCGCGGTGAGGAAACGCGGCGCCTGCTGTTGCTGCTGCTGTTGTTGTTGGTGCTGCTGCTGCTGCTGCTGGTGGTGATGATGGTGAAACGAAGTCATCGCGGCTGCGGCAGTGCACACCGTGGCTGCGGCTGCGGACATGGGCGAGAACGCCGAGTGCGAGTCCATCAGCGTCGGGTGCATGGTCGGCAGCTGATCCGAAGCGCACATCTGAAACACGCGACGTGCAAGTTGTGAGTTATGCGTGACGGTTAGGTCGTATAGCCGACGTTAAGCGCCTAACGGTACTGTCTGCGGGTGGATGGGTGCGACAGTTGCAGACGGACGGGGTGAGAGAAACTCTGCAGTCCTAGCCGTCGACATTACCCCCCCTCCGTGGGTGCGGATGGATGTGGTTTCCTATGAAAGTCTATAAGCCGACGCGGTGGTTTCCTGCGCTGTTGGTCGCGACGTGGCGACCTCGACAATTTTCAAGGGGCGAGTCTAACATCACACCCATCCGCCCACTCGCTTAAAACCCGAAAAACGCGTTCGCCGTTACTACGTTTTTTGATAATCGGTCGTAATGATGACTAAACCGTTGGCCATCCTCCCGCCACCTCGTAAAAAACTCGGAGGCGACCGTCTCTCGATTAACCCCTTTCGCCACAAATGATGTAATGAGTGATGACTATTGTGTTTAATGGTTTTGAAGCTAATAAATGATCATATTTTGAGAAGTCAATAGTACGATATTAATAAATGTATCTACCGCTATTGTTATTAACAATTTTAAATGAGGATCGCAAAGAGTATAAAAAGAAAATTTGATACACTTTTTAACGTTTTTTGTATCGGGACAAAATCTTTTAAATAATACATACTAATAATTTTTGTAATTAGCAGGGCTTGCATTTGAAAAAAAATTTCATTTTACGTTATTTACAATTAAAAAACGTTATACAAATTTTGCGTTTATCGTTATTCAGAATCTAAACGTTATTCAACTTTTGCGTTTATCGTTATTCAGAACTAAAATTTTTAATATATTTAATAAATTATATCTATTAAATAATTGGAAATTAATTATTTCATTCAATGTTATATAGGTACTATATAATATAGCGGTTCAAAAAAAAAAAAAAAAAAAGGTACTATATATAATATATAACGTTTTACGTTATATTTTGTTTGATGATAAGTATAACATAATATTATATTTTGTTAATCGTTATGTTTTGTTTTGTGTTATTTAATCATCGTTTTCCGTTATAATTACGTTTAAAAGTTTCAATCGTTTTTTTTGTTGAATATAACGTTATTATACCGTTTACAAGCCCTGAATTAATTAAATCATAATGATTGTAGCTAAAAAATTGATTTATTTAACTGATTTTATTCTTATTAAGAATTACGTGCACGACTGCGTATTCTCAGTTCTTACGTGACGAGCGGTTACGACGACTGCGGTAATATAATATTATCACGTACCTACATACTACGGTACCAACACTGTACAGTGTACACATTAAACTTAGGAACCGATATTTTTTACAATATGGCCGCTAGTTAAAAGGGATCGACCCTAAGTGCGTTTTATTTTTTAACATCATTATAATATTATTGTGTCGCGTACGGAAAAAAAATATAACGTATGGGATAGAGGTACGCGCATATACAAATTGACAATGTAAATAATATATCACAATGTGACGTGTGTATATAAAGGGTACGAGTGGGGACTTCTTGAAAACATCACAAATAATAATGATAATATGCTCGACTGCTCGAGTAAGCAACATAAATCGAGTTCTTGTATGCGTTTACATCGCCATAGGACGAGAGTTGTTAAAACGGTAAAACCCAATAATCGCCACCATCATTGTCGGTGCGCACGTAGACATTTGATACATTATTATAATAATATGTCTATTTCGATTAAACGTCTGTATAAAACGTTTCTAACGGTCACCAAAGTTACACCGCCGATGCCATTGCAGTAAATATGAAACCTACCATCATATACATTTTATATAATATTTAAAATTTCTGAGTGGACTTTTTCTTAGATAATAATATTATGATGATAAATTAAATGTTAAAAATAGAAAAAGCTTATAATTTTACTGTACAACGAATCTTCTGCGTGTTATAAACGTTGATAAAATTATTATGTTCATTATTTTTTTCCTCGACTACAAACCCACAAATTTATCGTGGCCGTATTATTTATATTTTGGTATAGATTTATTCCTTTTGCCGTGCGATAACATTAGAATGATTTATTATTACTAACCCGTAATTTGTACAATAATATGACGTGTATCAATCATCGACATTATACTCAACTCTATAATTTCAGATGACATTGTTTAAACGTTTTTTATAAATATATTTTTCCATTATGCTGAATCATAAATTTTTAACGATCGCAAATGCATTTCATAAGGGATTTGAAAACAAAATACGAGTAATTTGGCATAAAGTGTGGAATTTCGGCGGTTTATATAATTTTTAAGCACATAAAAAAAATCGTAAAAGTATTGTTAAACGAGTAATAAGAATATCAATAACGTTATGTGTTCAATTTAATATAAAATGAGTAAATACTTTAAAACCGGTAAATTTCTATTTTACGTTTGTCTCTACTCTCTATTAACGCAACTTTTTACGTTTCTCTCCTCGAGTTGTGATGCACCGAAACTTAATCGTGCGTTTGTGCAGTGGTATGTGCACATATCTAATGTTTTATGCTTATAAAGTATCGTGATGTGCATTTCTGATGGTCGGCTAAGGATTACAGTTCAAACGGTATTATTTATAGCCGTTTCACCATTTTAGGGTTTTGATTTTAAAATAATTTTAATTTTACAAGACTAATTTAACATGACATTTAAAATAGAACAACGGTGCCAATTAAAATGGCCGCCTAACACGTAATAGAAGTGCAGTACTCACCATAAGTTCAATTGCATGTAATACGTCGCCGTTGCACCTCTGCAGCACGTTTTCGATGTCTCCTCGTCTCTTGTATGGGAAAACGCGCCTGAGCACATCGACGGCCGACCGTCCGGCGGAGTTGACTCCGGCAGCTGCGGCTGCAGCAGCCACGGCGCTCGTATCCAGAAAACTGGAGAAATTTGAATAGTTCGACGGCAACCGGGAACGGTCGGGTTCGGTCGGCGAGCTGGAGTCTTTCCGTTTGGGCAACGACAAATTTTCCGGGGCGGCTTCGTTGCTGCTCTCATTGCTTTCCACCTATTAAATCATATGCAAGTGTATAGATCACGTTGACAGGATAAATATGTGCGCGTGACTTAATCGGACGTGTTAAATTGATACGAATTAACTATTGTCGTTGGTATTGTATATAATATTATTGTACACAAGGTAATATGTTAAAACACAGAAGTTGCTTAGAGTTGCGAAAAAACGCAAGTATAATCTTAAACGATCTTCGTCGTCTCCTACGCATACGTATGTATAAATATCATGATAGTTTAGTGCAGTGTGATTATAGTGTGTATATCGTATCATTCAGTGGTATATTAATCGGAGGATAAACGCGGGTAAATGACTTATATCAGGATCCTTGTTTTTGGATTTATGCGTATACCTTTAAGGACATTCATATATTATGGGTACACGCAACCTAATATTTTATCATCAGTCATCCCCATACAATAAAATAATAAAAATAATATACAATTGTTATTTTATCATGTACACAGTACACCATACACTGTCCAAAAATAATCTCGTGCTCACATGAAGTTTGATTAAATTTTACCCGTCTTAGGGTATTTGCAAAGACGATCGAAAATTACTTGGCGTGTATACTATATACTGCAGTGGATCTTAAACGATGCACCGTGGTACCCTAAGGTCTTTCAAAAAAGATAGATATATCGTGTACAAGTACGATTACTGATGATATATACAGGTCATTTCAATCTAAACAATACTGAATGTGTGATGAACTTTAGAACTTTCTAATTTATCTTTGAATCTTAAAATCAAAAAATAATCTAACTATTATAGAAGCAGATTCAAATATAAAATCAATTAGAATTTTAGAATCTTTAAAGATAATATTATTATGATAATATTATCTTTAAAGATAATATTGAAGATCATATGAAAGAAATTCAAGTTGCAAATAATATGATTTTCAAGCATATAAAATTAATAAATTATTCAAAAAATTTTACCAATTATAAAATACCAGTTTTATTATTTGTAATAATTTAAGAATTATTAGATTATTATAAAATACTAATGACTTAAGTTTGATTAAAGATATCACGATTTTTGATAAAAAAAAATACTTGACTAATTGATATAGATATAAAAGTTATGGCGAAGAAGAAGTCAAACTTTTGTGCAAACGTTTCATGTTAAACAAGAATAATTCAATAAACGAATTAAGATAAAAATCTTCGAAATGTGTTTCTAGAGTTGAATAACTGCATTAAAACTTTTTCTTGCTCAACTACTAAATGTGAACGTAGTTTCAGTGTTTTAAATTGAATTTGCGCCGATCTTAGGTCTACATTAACTATAACTAGTACCTACTAATATATCTAATTTTATGTTGATAAATATTAATGGACCCCCACTTCATTTATAGAACCCAGAACTTTATGTTCAAAGTTAGTTAGTTATTCAACACAAATCAGCAAACGACATTCGATCAAAATTTACTAGAAAGAAAGAAAAAAATACTGATGCATACAAAAGAAGTTTATGGACAATTGTTAATTCTTTAACATGATTTAATTATTTATTATTATATTTGATGCTTTATTTTTATTGATAATTTATCATGGTAAATACTATGTAATATTATCTATGGTTATTTGATGTTTTATTATTATAGTCCATAATTTTACTTAAAAGTAGTATTTATTAAAATATGTATGATTGCATTAATTAAAAAATGATTAAATATAAGACTTCATAAAAATAAATATTAACATCAATATCACGTTAAATTTAAAATGTTGAATTCCATTTGAATTTTACGGTATCAGAGTATTACTCATTTTCAAACTAAGTCTACCAGTTTATATCTTGTATTTTTTACTAAAGTTGTTATTTTGGAAAAACTCGAAAAAATTCATAGTTATGCAAATATTTGTTTGATAAATTAAATAAATTTAAAAACTATAAAAATACCAAAGTAACATTACAAAAGTATGTCAGTTAAAAATTATTTACATTGACATATATATATATATATATATATTATACAATTTACATATACCGCATATACACATGAAAGGTACCTAAGTGTTACTATAATAATATTATAAAATATTACCTATTAACTAATAAGTGTAATGATATTTTGAGCGGAACGAAAAAATTTTTCAAGGAACCTATATATATATTAAATTACTTTTAGGTGCGTAGACCCTTTAATTTATTTACCAATATACCACTGCGCATCATCGTGCAAGACGATAACTTTGTAACTTTGTAACTAAAGTGATGTTGTCAAACGAATCCGATCAGAAAGTTAAAATTGATAACCAAAGAATATTTTATCAGCGTTTTGTAATATAAAATAGTACATTTCAGTAAATACAAATATCCGAGTAGTTATGTAAGTATATTATATAATATTATTAAACGCGAAAAGAGTTGTATCAAATAACTGAAATTCGACTCGTTATTATTTTTTTTTTTTTTGATATATAACATTTTGTTGAGGCCAAACCTATGAAACAAAAACAACCTCACGATAGACTTTGTCTCGATTTATTTCACATAAGCACCAGTAATTTAATTTTTGAAGTTGTCAGTATATTTATATTTCATTTAAATACGTACAAGAGCTTAAGTATTAATTTTCAAATAATATTGTGATATATTAGGTTGAGATTGAAATACTCTAAAACTATTTTTTGTTTTTTTCAATAAAAATCTAAAATAAAAAAAAAACAGTAGTTACTAAATTGTACGAAAGATAATCGATGAAAAATAATCTATTATTTTAAAATGCTCATTTTAAACAAAAACTTTGCTTAATCACATATTAGTATAGGTCTTGTGAGTTAACCCCATATGATACAATAATCACAATAAATAATAATTATCTATACTTATACAAAGACTCATGGTCATAAAATAACTACCTAATATAGAGTACATGCAGTTTTAACTATTATACCATTTATACATAGCATACTATACTATAAACAAAAATCGAACTTACCTCCGATCTTGTTGGACTGCTGAATTTGGCGGCAAACTGTGTGGACGTTACTTGGGTAGGGGCGTTCGGTGACACACTGGACGAACGGCTTCGCGTGTTTTGATCTTGTGTTACGATCGTTTGGTCGTGTTTTGCAGTAATGGATTCTTCCGAACTGAGACGCGCTCTTTTCTCGTCTAAAATCGGTATAATATTGAAATTGTGTAATCAATTAATTCGGTGGCGTATAAGTTAACAGAAATGCGTATAAAAGGTGAATGAAAAATCCGTGTGGAAAGTGCAATATAATTTTGTGACAAGAGCATAATATTATGACGTACTGTACGTTCTGTATAAACAGCGAACGTAAAATGATGTCATTATTTCTATTCAATTTTATTGTGTTAACAAATAATTAAATGTATAATAGCGTACCCATACACGTAAAACTTTAAAAAACAAAGTGTATACACATAGTACAATAATGTCAGTATGGACGAGTACAACATAATATATGTGTATAATACTCGTATATTACGTATAATATAAATATATGGTTAAAAATAATAATTTTTATTGACGTATCATTAATCACGTATTCGTTCTATTTTTATTAAATTTCTGTACGTGTACCTATAGAATATATCATTGGAAAATTGTAAAAAAAAATTAATAATAATAATACGTATCGTTTCGAGGATTATATATTATGCGTGCGTATGTGGTGGAAAAAAAATGTTTAATAATACAACGTTCGTCGAAGATATTCGAGTGTATAACACACACACACACACACACACACACACACATATATATATGTGTGTGTGTGTATTAAATATGCATAGGCTATGTACAAAATGCGGCAATTATTTTTTTACGGCTGAAAAAATAACACATTGACGAGGTTTAGCAGAAGTGCGATGAGGGTGAAGAATGCGCGGGGGACAAATGAGAGAGAAGAGAGACTAAGAGGGAGAGCAATTTAAATACGCGGGGGTGGCTGGATTATAATGTATAATATGTCTAGTATGGCGATCGCGTTCTTAAAAGCCCGACAACCCTCTTTATCGCGGGTGCAGTATACCGCATAAGTGCGGAGTGAATCGCCCGAGTACCTACATCATAATATACAAAATCTCTATTGTACAAACTCGCCTGCAAAATTTCGTTATTATTGAAACGTTTAAGTAAGTACCTGCGCTTCAATTGTTTTCTGTACAATCGTATATACTTATATATATATATATAATTAAGTATAATAATTGTGAAGGTGAATTACCACTATGTACATATTTATATATAATATTATAAACGTATGCATAAGTCAGTAAGTCACAACAGCTTATGTACAGTGTACATATATATTATATAAGTATACGTTTATATATATACGGTGGTGCAAGCGTTCGCAGGGACACTCGACGGTAAACTGTTAACGCAAAACTAAAATATATCACGGTCATTACCAATTACCCAACTTCCTACAATATTACCGTATTTATTAGTATATTATATATATTTTACCATCGAGACTACAATGTTGTTATTATTAAACTATTATACTCCATAGTACATAGGTACCCATACCTAATTTTAAATTTTACAGCACTTTAACGAGTTTAACGCATACTTGAAAGTTATTATTTTTTTAAAAACGGTTTTTTATATTATATCGCTATTATTACCACTGCCATGTATTATGTTCACGGAACCAAGTTCAAACGAAAAAAAAATATTAAAATATAAAAACTCAATTTATTCGAAAACTTACATTGTATAATTGTAATATATACTTATGCCTATTTTATATGTATTTATTTGATTTATAAGCGAAAAACAAATTATAGATATATATATATATGAAAAAAGAAAATATTTAAGTAAAAGTATACTTTAGTTAATAATTTTTCAAAAGTTATGTAAAATTCATGACTTTATAATTAATTATTATTTTTAACTATTTCTTAATTAAATACTCTCATACGTATATTAATTTCAGATATATCTATGCTGATAATTAAAAAAAATAAACTTTACGTGTAGTTTTTCTATTAAAACTTTATAGGCGTATAATATCATAGTCACGGATTAACAAAATAAAGCATGGTTATATAGAAGTATTATAAATATAATTACATATAACTTTTATTCACAATGTTATAGGCTTAAACATACTATACCTAGCTTATAATTAGTATAAGTTATTATTTTATTTTAATTACTATGTATGTACATTGTACCGTTTTCAAGTGCACTCTAAGTAATATTTTTAACTACAATAAATCGAGATAGTATTGTACGTAGTCGTAAGCATTTCTATTAAACTGCAATTTTCAACCCTTAATAACTGCTCTTTTAGTGTAGAAAACGTAACTCCACCCTTGGTATATTCAACTACTCAGTTAATTTAGTATATACGTTTATGATTTCACCATCTTTTGTTTAGATGTACGGCTTGTATTCGTTTATTTTTAAATTAATAATTTACTAGAAAAAAAACACTATCGCGGCGAAGAATACAGTGGGTAAATATTGTGACCAAGTGCATTTCAAATGATATAATTGTTTTATCGTGTAATATCTGCGGCAAGCTAAAATTTGAGTCTGTAAAAGCAATTACTTAGCTACCACTTTTTGCAAATCCTTTCCACCCCACAAATAACTACTCGAGCGTTTCGACTCGTAAGATAACATTATGTAAAACCACGTCTTTGGAATATCCATACAATGTTATCTGTTTAACAAAAAGTTTAAAGTGAGTTAAGGAGGGTAAAGAGTAGAGGTTAATTGGTAGTTGTGTTTAAGTTGTGTGTGCGTTGTTTTATAATAACCTCTTAGCCACCATTGTGAACGTATATATACAACGCGCCTCTTAATAAGAAACACCCTTCCCTATAAATAATATAATGTACACACATACATGTATAAATAAATAAAATATATACGTATATACACCTATATAATATGCTCTAAACAATGAAGACGATTAGGGGTGAGTTCAAATCGTATATAATAATATACTTAATATAATAATGCAAGCAATTGAGGTCAAGAAGAATTCTGCGGCAATAAAAGAGGAATTCGGATAATGTTACTAGTGGTTATTATGTGTGCGGCGTGTGTACTTCCATATAGATCACGCACAGTCATAAACAGGGTCTTCTGTTTTCCTCGCGTCATCACCCTCGCTATCAACGACAGTCCACAGTTATTATTATATTCTTCATTCGGTTGGCAACATAAAATATTATCGCAGACATCGTCGCTCTACACTTGCATCAATTAAATACCTAGTAAAATATTCCTTTATCCTTTTTCAATGTGCGTAATGTATATATTATATAGGTATGTAATGTAGTTAGAAAATTCGAATAGCTGAGAACTATACATAATACATAATAATATAATATTATGGTTCATGAGACTTTATCTCTCTTTATTATTTTGTCATTTTGAGTACATTTCTAAACATTTATCGTCAATATAGTTATAGACTACATATTGGTACTGATGACGTGTTCTTCCACGTAAATATATGTTTTCAAATAATGTTAAGCATATAAATAAGTAAAACATTACTAAAAATATTATGTATCATTGTTTTTTTCGATTTATGTATATTTTACTCAGTACGATCTACGATTAAATTACATATTATCCTTTGCTTTAAAACATATGTGTGACAATTATACTGTATTATTAGCTTGATGTTTAATTTTTTTTTTATCAAAATGAACTGATAATAACGACTATATGATGCAATAGGTGGATTATTAGAAATACACCCCTAAGTATCTATACAATTTAAAAATATTACAGGATAAGTTGGGTATATAATAATATATACGAGTTGTTTTATAATTCGATAAATTTCTACCAAATAACAAGTATTGAAATTGTAAGCATTTACCTGGACTTGATCTAGCAGCAGCAGAAGATGATGATGACGGTGGTGGGTATATCAATCCAAGTTCCCTGGCCTCGTTTTCCTCTTGAGCCTGTTGCCGTCTTAGAGCTACTTGGGCAGCCATAACTCTCTGTCTTTCTGCTATCAAAGTACATTTTGCACAGGCACAATCTCTCCAACGACAATAACGTTTATGTCCCTAAATAAAAAAATAACAAAATATATATAACCGTTATGATTTATATAGATATAATGATATAAGTTGATATTTTAAAATTCAACTACTTACAAGTTTAAAGTAACATTATTTCAAGAATGTGTAATACTACTACTAAAACTACAACAATAATAAAATATGGGCAATTGATCGAATTTAAAAAAATACAATTTTGTACATCTACGAGTATACATATTTTAATATAATATAGACATTAGAGATGGTTAAAATATATAAATGATATACCCTTTCAAAGCATGTTTATATGCGTAGTAATTACATAATTTTTAACATAATTTATAATATTTGAATTTTTCTGTATTATAATAATATGTAAGCACTTTATTTTTATAGTAAACATTAGTTATGCAATATTATAATTATAATACATGTATTTAAATAGTTTTTATGGAAAGTTAAATCAATATTAGTTCATTAAGAAATAGCATGTAGTAATATATTTTATTAAATATGACACCAGTAATTAAAAATGTGAGATTAAAACGAATGAAAGAAATTTATAAAATAGCAATCATATTTCCATATTGTTTTGTAACCCCTTAATTTTGATTAAAAACAAATATATTCATAATCGTGAAAGCATTATGCATAATATATACATATTGTTACAATATATATATATATATACAAAGGTCAAAGAGAAAGTATTTTATTATTAATTAAAAAACTATATCTTACACAATAATTTTATACTCGTATATATGGGTATATAAATAAGAATATTGTAATATTTAAGTATAATATGTTTACAATTTACAATAATATGCACATTTGTAAGTATGTACATTATATAATAAATAATTATTTGATTTATTTATCACTGAAATTTACTTATAGCCTTATAGGTATAAGAGTATAATTTAATATTTATATATTCAAACTTTAAACATAAACACTAAAGAGTAATTCATTATAAAAACTGAAGTCAAAATTTTAAAAATTACATTGTAATATTATAACACGCCCAAAGCATACAACTTTTTGTCCCATTTAAACTATATATTTTTGAAATAAATAACTTTATCTAATAGTCTAAGACTTAATGTAAAAAATGATAATTCACCATCTTATATAATGGTAAAAATAAATTATACAATTAAATATAACTAAATGTATATTCGGAAGAGTGAATGTAAACCTAATTTCAAAACAAATTCCTTTACAGAACCACTCATTCCTACTTACAAGTTAAGTATCAAAAAATAAGTCTGTATAATATTTAAACAGTTTATTTAACCTATTTGAGATAGATTCAAAAAAATAGATTCATAAGTAGGTACTCTAGATTCGAATTTGCAATATAACATTTTTAGTCATCAAACATTCTACGTAAAAGTCACCAAATCGCCGTAATCTAAATAAACCCTATAATAATACGCATCGGTTAACCATAAATAAATTAAATATTTAAAAAAAAAAATAAAGATCAACAGATTGAGATTGATTTATATCTAAATCTTTAATAGAAGAAACTACCTCAAGCTCTTGATCATAAATAGAAAATACGTCTCGCAAAGAATATTTGGACACATTTATCTTCATACATTTTTAACGGTTCTTAACGTACTAATCATAGAAACAAACAAATTTATTTTTTCATTTCTCACAATCCTTCAATGAACTTTTAACTATGTATAATATATTAGAAATTCATACGTACGCTATGTAAGTCATTAATACCTAAATAATTAATACATCGTAAATTACACAAATAATTATACAGTTACGTAATTATTCATTAAAATAATTAATTAATAATTTTTTTATTTTATTAATTACGTAGGTACTCAATTATTGCAATTAAAACGATTTATTAATATTTCACTTATTGTTACACTTTATTTAAACTAAACAATTCAATAACGATTAAAAAAATTTTATCGGCCATTCAGCTTATGATTATAATATAAATTTAAACATCAATAAAGTTTCAAATGTAAGTTCTCATTTATTCATAAACCAAGTATAATATACAACAAAATATTTCGCTTAAAACAAATACAATTTATTATACACAAGTTAATATTGTACCATAACTGATTATTTTACTGAAGTTGTTGTTGTTGTTGTATTGAGTCAAAGTATTAAGTCTAATATTAATATATGCGTAAAAACTATATTTCCATTAATACTTTACAGTACATATACAAAATACAAATTATTAACTTTAAGTATAAGTAGTAAGTACTGTATCACAAATCATAAATGTAAATGCAAGATACGTAGATGACAAATTTACTTATTTTTGATGTAAAAATAAATAATATTAGTATTTACTATTTACCATAATATTTAAGAGTATACGTAAATAATTTTCATAAAATTGATATATGTGCATATTATTTAAATTGATAATTTTGCTTATATATTCAAATAAAATAGCAATAACAATTAAATTTTTACATACGCAAATAAGTAAGTTTATCATCATTCATAACATCTAAACTTACATAATATATTGTAATTTACAGACTTTTTAATAAATAAGGGTAACCTATAGTATTTTTCAAAACGTTAATGTACAAAATCGTGTTGATTTGTAAGTAATTGTAACTACAATATAATATGTAATTTCATAAGCTGTTTTACGTTAAATTGTCACTCGTGTTATGTAAAATCAATCAAATAGTTTTTGTCAGTATAATTAAATGTATATAATAAAAAACAAATGATTTTAAATTTCAAAATATTATACAATCAAATTAGGAATTATAATTTCATTGAAATTAAATAAGAGTATAAGTCATTCTTTAAAGTAAATACTATAGGTCTGAGTATTAATAAAAGTGAGATAAAGTTCTGGTTTGTGTTCGTGGGATTACATTCACGCTGGAGAGCTGTTTATGCATTTTTCTCTTATTGAGGAAAAGGTATGCAAGTAGGCACCTCACGAGTTGTTTGATTTATATAACCATAAGTGATTTGTGTTGTATATATGTTACGCCAAATTAAAAAATTGCGGATTACATGAAGTCGGCAGAAGAATTGCCGAATTCGTGAAATCAGTAACACTGCACTGTTGCCGAAAACGTGAAATCCGGCAACTAATATTGACTACCAAATTCACGTAATCGGCAACAGTGTTACTGCAGTTTTCATGAATTAGGCAGAATTCTTCTTGCCGATTGTATGAATTCGGTGACACGTGTTATAACGACATAATTATACAATTAATGGTATACCTACGTAAACAACCAATAACAATAAAATTGTACGCGCGCTCATCGGCATTATTACCACACCATTATTTTTTCTGCCGTGTTTCAATTTCCATCTACGTCAATGTCACTAAAATAATAATATTATTAATCGTCAATAATATTCTGATAATATTTGCTCATCTATAGAGCATCGATTGAGGATCCCGAGCACACGGCTGGAGCGGAACAGTTTGGCTGCTACAAATTACTGTTTCCCCTGACGAATGCAAACGTTCGACCGAATGGATATGTTCTTTACGGGAACTAATTCGATTAGGTTCAGATGGGACCGGACAACGATATCGACGTTGTACCCTGCCGTACGAACTGCACATCAAAAAGATGCACTGGTTCAACAGTGATAAAATATGTATGATTTATGCAAATTACATTATATTTTATTTTAGTAATTATATTTATTATTTAATAATATATATATTATGTAGCAAAAACGACATGATGTGTAATTCGGCGTGCCAACCTGGCCATAGTCGCTAAAATGTATAATTATAAATATAAAACTCTATAATATAATTTTATAACTTAAGATTTTTTTTTTTTTTACTTTTTTGTACATATAACTTTTTATTGCAATTAGATTTTATTATATTTGCAGTGTTTTATGTAAGAAAATGAATGTAACACATTCATTTATATTTAATTATATTTTATAATTTTTTCAAGAACGGTCCTGCCGATTTCACGCAATTGACAGTATTAAATAGGTACTTTAATAGTTGTCGATTTTACGTTTTCGGCAACAGTGTTGCTGATCTTATGAAATCTGAATTTCATAAATTTGGCGTAACATATACATATCTTATACGACATTAAGAAGTAAAATATAAGTAGGTATACACTTTTATATGAATTCTTTTAATTGATAAACTTAATTGTAACTTCAACAGTGATAAAATATGTAAGATTTGTGCAAATTACATTATATTTTATTTTGGTAATCATATTTATTATTTAATAATAAATATGTTTGTGTGTTTGTGTGTGTGTGTGTGTCGTGTGTTTGTATTTGTTTTTAATTATTTGTTATTTTATTAGTTACAATACGATGTGGTGCACCTTACAACACGTGCATAAGTAACTTAACGAATTTAACTCAATTACCTATTACAGTTTAACTATACAAAATTGAATTGATTTAATTTATGCCAATACATAATAGTGTTCCTAATACAAATCGAAAGTAAGTAAATTATCAATATGCAATTATATTTACAAAAAAACTAATTGTAAGTAGTCGAATAACGAGTTACAATCATTAAAATTTAAATGAATGTATTTTGTTATAAAAAAAAAAAGCGTTTGGGAAATAATTCTTCTTAAATTATCTTGAGTGTACATATAACTAATGACAATCGAAATAATATATAGATAAATATTACGTTTCCTAACCTAATTTACAAGACCGTCGAGACCATTATATTATGACCAATAATTTTGTTCATATTGAGTTCATAGAGTTTATAATATCATTATGGGTACAACTACTGTTACTATACATAATACATATATTTAAATCGGTATCCACGTTATGTGTAAAAGTATACTCGAACAGTCGATCGTACGACATAGCATACACTGCAATATATTATGAACTATAATATATAGTGATATCGTATTATACATTATACCAATGCTGATTTATAAATTAGCGACTATCATAAACATTGAATAGTACAATCGAAATTTATTTGTTTTTAAAATTTAAATAGTCTTTTTCTCAGAGCAATCTCAAAGTACGAGTATATAGGTGCAAATAATAAGCACGTGCGAACAATGCGTGTTCAAAAACATAATATGATGGATTTAATATGATTAATTATGACTTGTATACACAAGACTTAAAAAGCATACTTATTTGCTGGAAAATAACTAATGTACTCGCAACATCATAATATATATATTATAGTCCGTGTTAAACGCGGGGCGTTTCAAACCACCCTCTACCCCTCTTCAAATATTTTTGTGCCGCGGTCGCCCCCCCCCCGCTTGTATAGCAACAGTAGGTGCGAGCTCGACGTTACGATAATACAAATACACGTATAGGAACAACACTCACCTTCAGGGCAGACACGACACCGTGGTTCCTGCACCGGGCACACTTGGGCGTTCGCTGGTACCGTTCGGACGCTCGCTGCAAGAAGAACGCGGGAGACAAGCCTCCGAGTACGGCGGGATGCTGCGACATGAGGGCAGCAGTCATGTCCACACCGCTAGGCAAACTCATCGTTACTGCCGACGGATACGCGCGCACAACAACGCCCGGACGGCGACGTCGAGTCTCCCCGGCCCGAACCGCGGTCGTCGTCGGTCGGACGGGCGCGGCGAATGCGTCTGGCTCCTCCCCCCGTAACGCCGCAAAGTCACGCCCCGCCGGCACGCGTATATTTTATTCTTACACAGTACCTCTTCCGCGGCGGCCTACGAACACAAATACACACATACACACACACACACACCGTAAATATAATTTTATATATTATTATTATTATTATCATCATCATTGTATTAATTTATATATTTATATATAATATTAAAGCGTTCGTTTATATTTTAGCCGAACAATAATGCACACACTCGCGGCTAGCGTATATACATATATATACAATAATTTCAGGTGAGCAGTACATAATAATGTATAGGTAGGGATATATATAATAATTTAAAGCACGGCGTACAACACACACACACACACACACACCTCTATATACGCGACTATTATACTGAAATGATATAATAATAATAGTAATAATAATAATCGTAACACGTACACGTCTAGCAGGGTAAGTCGGCGGCGGGGGCCACGTCGAATCACCGACTGCGTTTACCCGGCCAAACTCCACCCAGTTCCCCCCCGTGGTGCACGCGGACCGGTGTAAGTATATACCTTATACCCACACTATACTCACATAATATATGTATATGATGTGTGTATTGGTACATTTATATGAACATAATATATTATTATATAGTTATAATATAACCCCCGACGAGGCGACATGTATACGCGTGCGATATTATGCGTATATGTATATAATGTATATATATTATATATAACGTTAAATATATTATAGGTATATCTACAGTATATATATATTATATATAATATACATTTTTGTCGGTTATTGTTCGATCCTGGTGGGCTATATAGGTTACCTATTATATGTATATATATATATATGTATATTGTGCATTGCGACTATAATATATGTATATATGTATTGTAATAGCCCCACCAAAAGATCTCCTACTATGCATACCCTCGATCCCCTGCACACCACGCGCTGTATCCTGCACCATCAAACCGCGTGTAAAACACCCGGTCGCTAACTATGTATATTGTATTATAATATAGCTATTATTATTATTAATATGTACTATGTCTGCATATTACAATATTATAAATATAATAATTATATACATAATAATACGTTGGGATCCAATACGTTTTATACTCGAATCAAACATCCCGGTGTCCCGACAAAATGTTCTAGAAACAACAATTAAACATAAAGGAATATATAATAATGTATATATAGTCCGGTACTCACTTTGAATTATCCGTCTCGTAAAATCTTATGCCTTACATTTTAAGATTTTAATTTTTTTCATGAATTTTAAACGAGAATATCAAAGTCTAAGAGCTTTAAAATTGTACTTGAGTTGAATGTTAGATAGGAAACCTTCTTACTTTCTAATTACAGACTTAAAAATAGAGCTAAAGTATATTTTAGTATTATAGTTATCATACGCATAATTCTTTTTTTAATTTATATTAGCATAAAGAAATTATAGTTATGCTTGATGGCTAATAATTAGTTTTTATTGTACTCATTTCAAATACTAAACATCGTTTTTTATTTATTAAAGTTTACTTTAAATGTATGAGGACCAGTTTAACCTAGCACAAATTTTTCATTTTTTTTTTTTTTATTTTTTTTTTGTTGACAGTTGTGATTTGTTTATAAAATATAAATTTAGAGTACTCATAGGTACTATGTAAACTATTCTATTTTTTTGTGCGATCATTTTTAATTTATTCAAGTGTTTGGTGGTTATGTAACTAAACCATTAAACAGTACCGCCACTATCTTCATCAAGTTGACAAGAGAGTTAAAGTTCATCAAGCTGTGGTAACGTTTACTTAGTTTTTAATTTACATACAGAGTGGTTCTTTCCTATGCTGGAATGGAAGAACAATAATAAACTTGACATCATTAGATTTAGATAATAGGTTTATTTTTATATAATTTGTAATACGGATGTCTTTGATGTAAATACTAAAAAGAAGTGAAGATAATTATTACACCTTGAGGAACTTATTAGATAGTAAGTGGAAAATATTTAATATAATTTATCTTCTTCGCATATAAGTACAATGTTTAAGGAAAGACTTCAAAGACTCGATTATAATTTTGTTATAATATGTAAACTTAGTTGTTTAGTTGATTGTATCACTATTTATTTTTTTTTCACAAAAATTCTTACACACCTAAATTAATCCATAATTTTGACCATTAGAAAGATTGTAATTTTAAAATGTCCATTTAAAAAAGTAAATTTGGATCCCATATAGTTAATCACCGTTAATATATACCTAGTATTTGTATTTATAATAAATACCATTTTTTACATGAACATTGCAAGTTAATTTGTTATAAGTTATAACTTATAATTCAAATTTGTTATACATTAATATTAATATACATTATATATACCTATCATAAAAGTAGTCTTTATTCTATAATCTATTGAGCTTATTTATACATATCTAATGTTTATAAAGTAAAAATAAAGTATCTTAACTGTAAAGTAATATTAAAATATTAATACAGTTAATATATAATATGTTGAAAATATTTATTTTTAAAAACAAATATTCAATAACATCACACTTACATCATTCTAAAAAACACTAAGTATACTAAGTACAAAGTTTAAGTGGGTGTAACAAAATTTAAACGCGCATAGTTCAACTCATCAGGTCTGCAGATGTAATATGTTTTGCACGCTACATCAAATTAATGATTAATATTCTATGTTTATATGTATTTTATATTTTGACATTTTAATGCACTTTATCATGTATAATAGATTATAATTTATATAGTATAGCGTATTTTGTATAGTGTTTTTTCTCCGAAATTCCCCACGCTGTCGATGACAACCGATTTATAGTTGACGCGACGCGCGAGTGTGTATTTTTATTGTTTTTATTATTATATACATACATATATATATATATATATTATAGTGTTCAGAAATATCGCAAAGGGTTGCGAACGTGACAAAAAGGGTCATTTTTCGGACACCCCCTTTACCGCGAGTCCTCGACGTCAGCCACACAGTCTGAATGCTAGATACCATAACAATAATATATAGTGATCGGACCCGGCAAATGGTCAAAAATTCTAGTTTTATTATAATTTTTTTTGTCCGGCCTCTCGTCGCCGACAATAATATGTAAAAATATGCTGAACGTTTTGGCGGATAAACAAATATGCCAATGACAGGTCACCCGATTTTGTCGAATCGTATGGATTTATAACTGTTGACTCGACGGTATTTGGTATTTTTTTGTTTTTTTTTTTTGTCCCATTTCCAAAAATAAAATAAATGTTATTTAACCGCACACGACCGAATATAATGGCATTTTATAAAAATGATATGATCACATTTTAATGTATAGTGGATTTGTATACGGTATACCTGATGACTGATTGTAAGTCACCGCATGTAATACATAACATAATTTGTGTTATTGTGAATTTTGATTGGATGCAAATTAATGGGCATTTTTGTTAACGTATATAGCACAATAATAATGTGTATACACGAAATTGAATAGTTGAATTAATTTAGAATTAGGTATGTTATAATAAGTCGTACAAATATATTTTTGTCACGTCTACAAAAAAATTGTAATTTTTGATTCCGATTGAAGCGTTGGAAAATGATGAGTTGATGACCGCTTTTCCGTCCGCCGGATAGCAAATACTTTTTTCTAAGAAACGTGTTTTTCATTATGATTGCTACAGTTTCTCATCAATAATAAAACCTTGAAACATATATCACTGTTACATAAACTTTATTATTTTTATATTCAACTAAATTATAAAATATTTAAACTAAAGCTAAGATATTTATAGGTATTTAAAATTTAAATTATTGTTATTTATTTATATAAATATATATATTTTTTTTTTTGTAATAATAAACATAGTCATATTCTTTCGGTTTCAAAATTTAATACAAGATTCCATAAAATGTAAAAATTAAAATAAATTTCCAAATTACCCCGTATAGTCAAACATATTGATATGATAATACCTACATAGAATATTAGTAATAACTAACTATTTTAGTCATTTTGTTGTAATTAAAAAATATTAGGTACTCTTAAAGACAATTATTACATTGGTCATAAATGCGTAGTAATATCTAATAACAATAATTCTCTTCTATCTGATGCCGTGTTGATCGAAGCGAGACTTTATAATGCTCAATAATCAATTTATTTCTAAATCACCTGCACGTCTGGTTATTTTATTTTAACAAAAACCAATTTTATTCTAGTTAATGACATATTATAGAAATACGAATATCATTATTTAATTGTTATTTTATCATTTATCAAAAATATAACTCCAGACACGAATGGTTTTTAAAATGTTCATCATCAACGCTAATATAATATATACCAAGAGGGTTCTGTGGAATCTGGAATCATGTAACAATTTAACCAAGGTGAACGAACCTTGATATTGTTAAAATGTTAAATCTTTGTTATGTCAATATTAAGTATAAAAATATACAAAATAACACGATCTTCAACAGTAAACACAGTAATATTCAATTGCATTCTTGATTTTTTTTAACTTTTACGTATGAAAAATGTATGAATACAATATTTAATATTTCAATACATAATACGAGTAATACGATATACGTCTATAAATATGACTGTTCAGAATGACACTTCAGATGTTATTTGGATGTCGATAACCACGACTGCTCTTATACTTAATTAATTAAAAACAACTTTTAAAACGAAAATAGAAAAGTAGGATGGAAAATCCACACACATTTTTTATAATTAACTAAAGTTAAGATTTGACGATATTGCATATTCAAAATATATGAATTTAAACATTTGTCCTCAAAAATGTTTGTTATTTTATTATTTTTCATATTTATCTTAAAAAACTTAACTCTGTCTACTTTGACTAAATTTTTCATTTTCAAACCTAATGAAAGTTTTTTCAATCTTGATAAAAAAATTTAAGCTTTGTAAAAAAGTTTAATGATGAAATACAATATTCCTTATAAGTTATATTCTTATACATAAATTAAAAAATGTTTAAAATTAATAAACACTATTTTTTTTTATATGTGTTTACAATGCTTATAACAACAAAATCATTCAAATAATCATGAAAATTCTTTAATCATTCTGCAATTGAAAGGTATACATTATTTAATTTTAATACAACAAAAGTTTAAAAATTAAATAAAAGATTCCTCGTAATTGTATCTTATAGGAACATTAATACTACCTATGTTACAAATGCATAGGTAATTATAAATTCTGTAATAATATTTCAAGTTTAAATTTCGAAGAAACTGAATAATTACTATAACCAAACAAAATATAATAATTTTAGATATTTTAATTGAATTGTAATAAAAAAAAAAAAAAAAAAAAATGCTATACGTTCTCTACATAGTTTAAATCTTTTCGTTATGATAGCAGATTAAGTTGGTTCTGTACTCATTATCAAATTATTAAAATTTAGGCACTTTATAAGCTATATTTATACCACGTATGTACCTACTTATTATAAATTTAGGGCAACTATTAATATTATATGAAATATTAGTATGCCTATGATATTTTTTTTTTTACTTAAATGAGTTAAACTTAACAATGTTTCTCACAAAAAAATAAATTACTAATAGTAATAGATATTTAGTATTGTATACAATGATTTACTAATGAATTAAAATACAACACTTATCTTATAATAACACAGTCACTAACTCAATGGTAATTTACAATCAACAGCTATAACATACAGCAGTAACTTTTCCAAATTAATAAATTAATAGTATTCTAGAATCAATGCTTAAGTTGATATTTAAGTATATTTGATCTAAAACATTTTTTTTTCGAGAACTAAGAAAAGATTTTAAAAAAAACTGAATGAATACTTTTACGTTACTTAAAGTTAATTTGTGGCTAGAAGAAAATAATTTATATATTTTTAATTAAGTAAAGAAAACATGAAATCTATTGACGTATTAGTGATCAATGCAAGTGTTTAGAAGGGAAGTGTTTAATTAGATAAATCGAATTAATTCATAAATTTATAGTAAATAGATAATTTACTAAATTTGAATGGAATAGTACAATGGTTATATGTGTATTGTATAATATCTATTATATAAAATATTGTAAAAAACATAAAACGTTATTTTTAATAACTAATAAGGTCTATTTTTATTTCAAACCAGCTTTACTTTTCTGAATATTACCTGATTATTACTAGATACATGGCAATTTAAAACAGGTCATCAATTATCAATCACGATGGTATAGATTTAAACGGTTTTACTTGAGACGTTCGGACACGTTTTATGGGTCTGATCTGCGCCTTTCTTTACGGACGTGACGTTTAATCACATCAGAGATTCTCAAAGACCGTTATATATGCGTACCAAAAATAGTAGGAACGCCAGGAACCGTTCTATAATTTAAATTACAGACGATAAATAACTATGAATTATCATTGTTGGATTGCCATTGAAGTAATTCAATTATAAGCAGTACGATATTTATTCACGACTGACATTCGTTCTTCGGTTGTTGTTTAGACATCGATAAACAATGATCGTGTAATATTTTTACGATTAAAAACAAATTTTAAAACGGAAATGAAAAAGTGGATTAAAAGTGTTGTAGTTGTGAGACTTAGTTGAGATACAAATACTAAGCATTAACGAGACTTGGCATTCAAAATCACTTTACTCCAATATTCAGCAATAATCATTTTGATCATGTAACAAATTAGATAAACTGTCAACTGTCAATTGTATAGGTGCGTTGGCGTACTGCAAGAAAAATTAGGGTATTATAATATATAGTGGTTAAGATCTGAGATTTTAAAGATATGTTATAGTTATACAGTTATATTAACTAAATATTGTAAAAAGTTACTTACTAGTACAATACAGATAGTTAAAATAAAAACAAAGATTATTTAATAAATTACATACATTATAAAATACATTTTTTCATTATAACAACATAATATAGTGTACCTATTGCCATTTCCTTGATGCTAATATGCATGTTTAATACACTTATTTATATAAATATTATACACCATATGGCATATACACAACTATATAAATAGGTACCTAAATGATATAACTAACTATACTTTTGTCACTTATCTTACGTATAATATCAAGACATTGTCGTGTTGACCATTTATATTGTTTTCAACGATGCATTTAGAATTTTATACACTTATAACAAGTGATTTTTTTGATAAATTAAAAAACTAACAATATGAATATCTTTCTGTTCTAAAACAGAGTTGAACTGTTGAACATCGATAAACAAAATATCATATCATTCATATCTTGTTAAAACATAACTACAAAGAGTTGTTTGATTTTGTTAGGCGTGCCATACTAAATTATAAGTTATAAGTTTTAAGTTATAACTTATAAATAATATTAGACAAATGTGTGTGCAGTGAATAAATATACCAAAATTTTGTAGGTGTATAATATTTTATTTTTAATAATTTACGTGTTGTATCTAGGTATATAATCGTATAAACAATTACATAAAATCAAATTATCATTATTTATGAGTTCATAAAATACCATAGTATATTTCGATCCAGATTTTGTAACACATTTTGTTAAGTCTATTATTGCAGAGGAGGAATATATCGTAGAGTATTTAGATACAGTACATCAATTTCAAAAAATTCTATAAGATTCTTTAATTTCTTTATTCTACATAATTTATAAATAAGTTCACGTGAAACATTCATAGATTCATTATGAATTACCTAAAAGTAAGAATACATTTTTTTTATAACAAAAAGGTTATTAATCAGGTGTATTAAGACATATTCATCAAGACTATGCATAAATAATTTTATATATTTATTTTTAAGCAATGAAATAGATACTACTACGTGTATTGGGTATTCTTGAAACATTTATAGATGTTTATCAATCGTGTTCTTTAAAAAAGCTGATGTATTCTCGCCTGTTGGTCTTATGATGATTTCAGCGACCTGTAAAAATCAAAACTCATAAATACGAAAACACGTTATAAATATTGAGACTGAATAAAACAACCTGTGTTAGGATAGTTCCATTTGGTAGGAGATACGAAAATAACTTAAAGGGTAAGTTTCAATTTAAACGAGAAGAAATTTCGTACAAATTTTGTTAATGGATATATACTTTGGTATAATTACTTAGGTATCAGTTATTATAGTAGTTTCCGAACTAAATTATAGATCGAAAAATCCGCATAAACATTTACGTCGGCGAGGAACGGCATATTTTTTAATAACGATTTGCCACCAAAGATATAGAGTACAAATATCAGGATCAGTAAATTCATAAGCATTACGTAGAATTATATACTCAAATATAACATTTGAAAAATAATGTAAACATTGCGCATTTTGATTTGTGATGGGTACGTTTTTTTTAAAACGTAATTTTCACCGAAATATATTATTACATAATATCATAAAAATTAGTAGTTACTGTAAAAATTCATACAGATTAGGTACTAAACTATATTTTACATAGAATAGTCATCCTATTAATATAAGATAATAACCATGAATGGGCTAAGATCGCATCACTTCCAACAAACTCGCTGATTTTCTTCGATAACAAAAAACCAAGGTAATATAAATTTTGGAGATTATCACACGAATTTAAAGAAATTACTAACCAAATATTAATGAATAAAATTTTATAGTTTCAAATCGGCAGGGTCAGAATAGTTATGTCATAAATACGTAATTTGTGTAATTCGAATAATAATACAAAGAAAATGATTGTAGAAGATTACATAAAATAATTAATTTTACAAGTAAAAGTACTCGTAGTAAAATACTTTTACACGTCATAATACATACTTTTTAAATGAGCTTAAAAAATATAATATACCTAATAACAAATAAGAAACTCAAAACTATTAAATTGAATACATAGCTAAGAAAAGCTTAATATACAGGTAAATAAAATTGACTAATAGCATTAATTGTATTTAAGTAGGTACTTAAATATTAATAATCTAACCACACAGGTAATTATTAATGGGCGAAAAATATAGGTACCTAGTATCTATTGTAATGTGAGTACTTCAAAATTATTATTTTCCACTTACATTAACACGTTGTGGTGCACTCAGCGCGTACATAATAGCTTCAGCTATGTCAATAGATTTCAACATATTTATGTTTTTTAATTGGCGCATTTCTTTAGTCATATCAGTTTCTACTGCACCCGGACTAATACTCTGAAAAAAGACATTATCAACTAAAACTATGCAGGTATTTAAAAATATATAACATTTTTTATGTTTATTCATTTTTTACTTTGAATTTAAATAGAATATTTTATATTGTAGATAATTTTTAAGCATATAGTATATTTAATTAAAACAATAAAAAAAAAGAGACTGAGAATTTAATATGCTGCAGTAAAATATTGACTTTTGAATTTTTAGTCTTAATTTTAAAATAATTTAGGAGTAATAATGTTATGTTAATTAGTCTCGTGTTTTTCTAAACGTTTTTAAAGAAAATATTATACATCTACCTAAAACCTTAAATAATAATAATAAATATCGACCGTCATGAATAATAATAATTGACTTTACTACTCGCACATTAAATTAACAAGCTAACGAATATATCTAATAAATAATTTAAACAAATTAAGGAATATAAACAATAATTATAGTATATTGATATCGATTACACAGCATTGAGTTTTAATAACTAAGATTGAACAAATGGACATAATATTGGGGATATAACAATTTATACAGCGTACACAAGCTTAAAAACTAACAAATTACCGTGACTCTGACGGGTAAATCTTTCATGCCCAAAAATTCTCTTAAAGACTCTGTAATTACAGTAACAGCATGTTTAGTAGCACTATAAACCGAAAAATCTTTTATAAATGGTAACTGATAATGACCTACAATACTATAACAAAGATTAATAACAATACATTAGTATTTATACATATTAAATTATTGTTAGAAGCTTAGAAATAAATTAGAATTTGTATCATAATCTCATAGTTGAAATTGTTGTTATTCAATTAATATTTAAAAAAATGATAAGAATCTATCCAATCTATTTAATCTAACTATAATAACTAATGACACTAGAAATTTGAATTATATAAATAGTACATATAAATCTACTTTTTAAGTTTATTATAACATCCATAAGATTATATTAATTAATTTAAATAGTTACCTATTAATATTTATTATATGGCCTTCTTTGATTTCTATTTCCTCCATGATTTTTATGGCTTCTCTACTGCAAATGTTAAGACCTATGACATTAGTATCAAACATTTGCTTCCAATCATTTGTGTTTCCTGAAAGTTGTAATGGTGAAAACAGTTTTTTTTATTAATTTTACAATTAACAATAATTCATTAATATTGATTACACATAATTAATATCTACTTCTCAACATTGTAAATATTTAAATATTTAACAACCTAAAAATAAATTAAAAATTATTTCAAAATATAATTATTGCTATTACAGTATTACTTAATCAAAGGATGATTAATCAAATCGTAATTTTTTATTTATTTGATGATAAATTATATTAATGATTAAATGATTATATTATTTCGGTTTTTTTCCAATAAAATAATAACTATTTACAATAATTTGAATTTTGTCAGTAGATACATTTAATCATTATATTATTAAACTCAAATTTTTAATATTATATATCTACTAAAATTAATACACTAAGTAATTCAATTTACCTAATAAATCACTTTGTTTCAAAACACCTGCGTTGTTAATTAGTACATCAATTGATTTCAATGTAATTTTTATCCAATTAAAAGCTTCCAAAATATTTTCTTCCGAACACAAATCAACTTTAACGTAAAAAAATTTGCCCAATTTGCCTTTTAAATTATTTTTTAACTCCTGAAAAAATATATATATTGTATTACACACAAGATACAAGATAGTTTACTTTTTTTTAAATAACTTTTATTTTTAAAAATGCTAATTAAATTATTAATTCAATAATCCTATTCTCTACCGAAAGGTACTAATTTAAATAAAATTAAAAACAAAATTAATATAAAATCAGTTTTCTCATAAACTGCGAAATTAGTGTTTAAGTTTTAAAATAAAAAATGGGATAGTTATTCAATATAATTTGTCAATAAGACTGCGGAAGCAGTCGGATTATAAAGAAGGTAAAAATTAAAAACTAGATGCACCGGAGTCTGGAGATATCTCTTTTTTCGTTCTACTCAAATATAAAATGAAACATATCGACCAATTTCATCAAGTAATAATATGAATCCGCATTACCTATTCATAAGTACGAATATTTATTTAAATTCGTGTATTTGATCAAAAACTTAGTATTTTAATTTATACCTGAAGTTTATCTTCTCTTCTAGCAAAACCAACAACAATCATTCCCTTTTCAACCAGTTGTCGACAAGTCTCCTCTCCGATTCCAGAAGAAGCACCTGTTACTACAGCAACTTTTCCTTCCCACTTTTCCATTTTTGTGATAAATTTTTTTTTACAAAGCTACAACTGTGCTAATCGGCGTCCAAATTACAACTAAAACATTATGAACAATCGAATTTACTATTTATATTTCTTATAAAGTATAACTATTTAGTAGATAAGTAGACAGGTACTAATAACATATGAGGGGATAGTAATCATCGTTTTTATTCACAATTCGCTGACACGCGATAGCCAATAAACAAACAATAAGTATATCTTATATGCCATGACCTTATACATAATACCAAAATATTAAGTATAATTTTTATTATATTAATTCAAGTAATACAAGATATGTTTGATATATTTGATGAAAAATTTAGGTAAAAACTAAACCTATTATTATAGTATCCTATTATTATTAGGTATAGACGTATAGTTATTTTAATTAAACTATTTTAATTCCAAAATATTAACGAAAATTTTAAAAACTTCTTTAATGACAGGTATTACCTTGTTGATAATAATTTAAATGACCACTTTGGTATACTTACGTTGAAAATAATAAAAAAAAAAAAACAAATTGGAATATGAAAATAAATTGTTGGGCGTTATAAATTCTCTGGGTTCGATCAACACGCACAGGAAAGAAGTGAATACTGTTAGGTATATTATACATTTATAAAATTTTTAATAATTCGTTTACAAAAAATATCCTTAACTCGGTATGAGCTATAACTCTGTTCCAAATAAGTTGACCCACTTTTCCGCATGCATACTGAACTGCCGGAACATTTGGATTTCTTAAACGACGCACACTGCGATTGATCGTCAATAGACGGTAACTGATGTTACTCTTCACGGTCGGCTACAGTCACCATCTTTAAAGTTTTTACTACCTTATAAATTATCATGGAAAGTGGAAACATAACAAATATACGATACAAAATAATAATTATTTTTATGATTATTAATATACGCAATCAGGGCTGGACTGGGCAGGTGAAATACCGGGAGTTTCCGGGTGGGTCGCTTGTATTCGTAGGAACGTCTAAACATGTGTATTTTAAATAAAAATTATAATATTTCTTTAAACTAACCAATTTATAATTTTTTTAATTTTTAATAATAATTTTAAGTGTTTAATATCTCAAAATAATATACTATAATTTTATATGAAAATGTGTTTTTTAAGGTTGTTTTCATAGGTTTCCTAAGTGAGCTGATTTTTTTTTATTTTCCCGGTAGACATTTTTGACCCAGTCCGCCATCGGGCTGTAGGTACGCAGTCAATTTTTGCCACTCATGCATAAAATATATTCTAGTAAATAACCGTACGGCGTACATACTTTAAATTCTCCCAAAATGTTTATGATAATTATTTTTAGTTTTTTTTTTTAATAATTTACGGTAAAAATGTTTTAGTTAGGTCAAAAAAATATGACACTGAAGGTCATAGTTCTTAAAAATATTTTGTTAAACAGAAAATTTCGTTAAATGGAAGTTCGCTACATAGAAGTTTTACTGTAATTATTTCGTTATATAGAAACATTAGATTCGTTATTTAGAGATAAACTTACGTGTAATTTACACTGAAGGTCATAGTTCTTAAAAATATTTCGTTAAATGGAAGTTCGTTATATAGAAGTTTCACTATTAAACACTAGTTATTATACTCTTGGGCTTCATATTATGATATGGTATCAAAATCACTTGAAAATGAAATCAAATTTGACGATTCAGATTCAGAAGAATCTGAAGCGACTGATGAAGATGACAATTTATATAAAAATCAAACAATTACCGATGTTCCTAAGTATTCACCGAAACCAAACGAATACCTATAAAAATTCAACTTGTAGTAAATGTACCTATGCGTCATGAAATTATTATACAAGTATAACTTCCATACAGCTGCGTTTACTAATCTGTACTTGGCATATAAATTTATATTAACTCTTTCATGCACACAAGTACATTGTGAATGTGTGAAAGATCATTTTCCAAATTAAAAATAATTAAAACAAGATTAAAATCATCAATAAGTCAAGAACTATTAGAACCTCTATTATTTATTAGCATTAAAAGTGATAAAGTTCCTGATTTAGAAGAAATAATAAGTTGTTATGCACATTCATCGACAGAATTAAAAAAATTGCTCGTATATTAATCATCCATATTCATAATTTGTTTATTATTATTTATTATTTATTATTAAATACATTTTCGAGTGTTAAAATTTCATAAATGTATTTTAATTATTTACCTTGTTAATATAGCCAAGTAGGCAATTTTTATAATAAATGTATTAAAAAAATATGTTATGTATTTCTAATTGTACCTAAATGGAGGGCCCTTTTTTTATTTAGCCGACCAAGTAATGTGTGCCCAGGCCGCCACTGTGAACGCGTATACCTATTATTATAGTTGAGGCTTATAATTATTACCAGATAGACCGAACCCGGTTAAACAGCTTATTATTTATTTATTATTCGTAATACAATATTAGCAAGACTTTGAGTGACGGGGATTAGCACTCGTTATAAAATATTGTATTGTATGAGTTACGAGAATCGTGAGCTCGTTATGCATAAGATGCGATGATTTAATCAGTTATGTGATAAAAAATAGATTTAGACCTACCTTATCTTCTTTGTGTTTCTTACACTTGACAGTAGGTAGACCAAAAGATTACATTTTTTTTTTTACTTGTGTACAATTTTTAAATCTTTTTATTTTATACTTGGTAGTCACTTATCAGTAAATTATCATACATCTTAATCACTAACCAGTAATTACCATACACGGAAACGAGAAAATTATTTTAAATGGTTTTAAGTTTTAACTATAAATTCCTGTAATTGATCATTTCACTGAAGTATGATGTATGCCTATATGACTTGATGAAAATTAACTTTGCCTATGAAATGTTCACTATTTTTTGTAAACAAAATTTAACATTTTTATTGTAGCCGTTCATACCCACAAATTACAATATAATAGCAAATGGTCTGGAAATTAATTTAACTTTAATAGTTTAGTCCAGCGGTTCCCAAATTGTGAACCGCGGTGCCCCTAGGGAGTAGGGGCACCGCGAGCACTTTCTGAGGGCACTGTGGTCTACGTTTCATTGGTTCTCAATGAGTAATTTTTTTTTGTTCTATCTTTCATGTTATATACGAAAAAATAAATTTGGGAACCGCTGGTTTAGTCTATAATACAAAACATAGACAAAAATATTATGTAAGATGTTTTATTACTTTGACAAGTGTGTGGACAATATACATAAGTATTGTACAAATAAATAATCTTAAGCATTTAATTATTGCTTTTATACATATAAAAGAATAAAATAAAATATGTGTCATATGCAAGTACACAACTAAATAATATATAAAATAGTAATCATTTATAGGCCATCAGAATAGGTGAACATTAACATTTTAGAACATCAATAAACATAATAGTATATCTACATATTGTATCATCATATTACTAAACTAAAATAATCAACAGTAAATATCTGATTTTAAACACAACAATTTAACAAAACAAACACAGTGGCGCCAATTACATACCTATTATAATTTATGATTCATCGCTATATTGGAATAAAAGCATGAACAAAGCATCAGGCATGTATAATAGTAATTTTATTTAAATGCTGGCAGGAAAAGGACGTTATAAGTATACAATTGTTATTCATATTACAAGTCAGTAGATAGATAATAATTCTAAAATGGACTAAATTAGGGAATGAAAACAATTTTTTTGCAATTTTAATCAATTGTAAATATATTAGATAAATATATTTTACTTGTTAACAGGTTTTTGAGATTTGACTTGTTTATTTGCATTTACTTAAAAACACTTAAATATTTTAAAATTATTTTGTTTAAACATATCATTATTTCTTTAAAATTGAGATCGATTTAGGTAAATATATAATATTATAAGTCCAGAAGAAAATTACTATTTCAGCACTATGTTAAAGATTAAACATTTGGTCTTATACATATTCAGGTTTATAAATCTAAGCATTTAGCACAATACAAAATCACTAACTAAAACATAAGTATACAAATTGTATGTTTTTTGACGACAATGTTATTTTGTCTTCAAAAAATTAATGATTAAAAACAATCAGATTTTGTTAATTTAGCACAATAATTATAACTCACGATTAAACTCCTGGTCAAGAAATAAAATCATAATATTATTGTAGATTATTTATTTTTTTTTAAATATTATGCTATATCATATTGATAACAATAAAACAATAAAATTAAAAATGAACACAACAAAATCTGAACATATTTATAACAGGAAAGAGACATTAAAAATCATCAATACAATTGGTTACAACAAAAAATTTAACTCCAGTTATGGTAGGAAAACCAAAATATTAGCACATTGTATAATTATGAAATCTATTAATAAATCTTATTTATTTATAAAACTTATATAGTATCACTCAGATTATTAATTTTTTTTTTTTAATTTTATCAATATTTAATTACATCTTACATGCTATTAGAGATCTTATACTATATTGGCTAATTATAGTTCTATGACAGTAAAAAAAAAAATGTTTTAGTTTTAAAAACAGAAACTTTTTAAACATAAAATGTTATCATCTCTAATTAAAGAATTTACAATTTTGGCAAAGATATTTTTACTTAGGCAAATATGAGTCATGAGTTAATGAATTATGGGAAATATTACCAGATGATAACTTATTAATCATGTGAAAAATAATACTCAAAAATTGAATTAAATGAGTAGAATAAGAGTGTACAAAAATATAATACTTAAAAAAAATTCATGATTATTCGGAATAGTTTTATATTATACCCAAAATTTCTCAACTATTTAAATATTTAAGGTTCACAACCTACTCTGTAAATGCCATCATAATTGATTATTTAAATAAAAAAAAAAAATCAATTAATATTTTATGAAATTGTAATTTTCACTTTATTATTTTCAATTATAATGCTTATAAATATAATAGTATAGGTATGTTTAAAGATATTAAAAAACATAGCTTCTACTAAATTTTTTTTTTTGGCAAAACAAAAATAAAGTTAGCTTGAGAAAATATATTAACAAAACATGCTATTTTTCAATTAAATTTCTAAAAAAATAATTTATAAATGTTTTTAATTTATAATAACTATCTAAATATTTTAGTATAAGGAACTTAGGCTTTGGCCATTTTTATTTTATTTTAGGACTATTTACGTGTGCATTTTCACAACTTAATTTAAGCATTTGTGGATAATATCAACTTTAACTAAATACATACATAATTATATAAACAACAGCTAGTGTAAAAAATAAAACAATTTTTAACAATCAATAAATTAATAACATTATTCATACCAAACTTAATAATTTTAAGATTCATAGATATGTTATTCAAATTTTCTGATAGGTATCTGCTAAACACAAATTGTTTGTAATCTTGTAGGAGAACAAGTAGCAGAGCTGATGCACAAACTTTAAGTATATAATGATGGATTTAGTTATCTTTTTTTTTAATGAAATATATGTCATATTTCATATTATACTATTAGATTAAAGATAATAATTATTTTTTCACGAGAATTAATTGCAATCAATGTAAACTAAAATATGAAATAAAATATTATTTGAGTTAATTAATTAAAATAAATGTAAAAACAAAAATTCAGACTTAAGGAGAGTAACAAAAAGTATAAAACACCATACTAAGTTCAATATATGTGATAATAAAGATATTAAGCAATTAAAATAAATTGGGTAAATCAACTTAATTAAGTATGTTAAACCCTAATATAATTAATTGCATGGCAAGATATATTATAACTGTATTTTTAGGCAAAAAAGGCAAGAATTAAAATAAAAATTTATATTTCTTATAGAAATGTATGTTTTTTAAAAAAAGTCTTTAATTTTAAAACATCTGATATGTGTTTTAAAATAGTATGTCATTTTTTTTAGTTTATTACAATTTAAATTTTTATTAAACTTAAGCTAACCAAACTTATCTTAACATTTTATATTTATATGTATATTATTCTATCTAAAAATCATCTTTGGTAACGATTATCACTTTTAGTACAATTTAACTCTCATATAAATATTATTTATATTAAAATAACCTCAAAGGTTGTGTTTATAAAATAATCTGATTTTTAAGTTTTTTTTTGTTTTCTATTTTTAAGTAAAAAATTCACATGAAATTTTAAAACTAATCAGTCGAAACTTATAAGGTTATCGGGTAATTTAGTGTCGGGTTGATGTACTGACTGTGCAGCATGGTACAATCGTCTATACCATTGTAAAGCTGTATTGTCACTCTCAGCTCGAAACTTATAAGTATTTCCTAAAACAATAATAAATTTAGTCAGTCAAATACATTATTTGAAAATATAAATAAATCAAGTTGAAATATTTACTTTGATCAGGATACTTGATTAAAAATGTATCTGGGTTATCACCAAGACTTATAGTACATCCTTTTAATGGACAAAGTTTGCACGGCTCTCGTTTAAAGTCATTTCTATTACAACTGTACAATAGAAAATATTATAAACACATACTGATATTTTGTAAATAAACATTTACCCTTTAAATGACTTAGGTGAATAATAAATTAATACTGATGCCCATAGTTGTATCCAATAACGCTGCCAAGTTGTCACAGCTGGTTTTCGTCCATTTTTTAAAACCACTTTACGCCTTAAACAACTTTCTAAACTTATTTTATGAGCTCCTTTCAATGTTCTACTTAAACATAAATTTAAATATATCTCAGATAAACATTTTATTCATTATTACAATAATTTATAGTACTCACTGAGAGGGTGACAGATTTAAGTTGGATAAATCTAATGTATTCTCTTCAATAAGCGAATCATCGAGTAAATTCCTTGAGTTAACAGTTGACAATATTCCTTCATCAGATTTATGGATCAAGCTAAAAAATAAGTTCATATTTAGAAAGTATAAAAAAAAATCCATTAAATCAGTACTTAATTAGGATTTCAAGATAACATATCCCATTAAAAATATCAAATATTATATGATTTTTACAAAGAAAAAAAATATATTAATAAGGTAGTTATTAGGTCATAAATTCATAAGATTCAATAAAAATAAAAACAACTTATTATTTATAAATTATTTGTTATTAAAAGTTAAATATTTATGAAGTAGCATTCAATATACTCACTTTTTAGCAAATACGCTCAACAGTATTTTGATTTTTACTGTTAGCATTGAATAATAAACATATTATAAAGTTTATAAATGTATAGGTACTATAAGTACTTAAAACAGTTAAAAATACTATGTCACATACAAATATATAATAATTAATTAATTACTATTATTGATGTTATATTATGATTACTATGTCATAAATATGTACATTTTACTATAAAAAATTAAATAATAAACTAGGAATTTAAAGTAGGTGAATTTTATTTATCTTATTAATTTTTTAAAAGTATCTTGTACTTGACTAACAATTATGCATTGAAAAATATTTTAATATACATTAAATTATTATTTAACACATAAGATATATATTAAAATTATATTTTATACTTAAACCTAAATATAATGGTTAATTAGGAAAATGGGCAACTGATGTTTAATTAATTAATTAATTTTATTAATGCTATGTAAGAGATTAATTCGCACAAAGTAAATAAGAATATTCTATTGTGATTAAGAATTCTTAATAATATAGAAATGAAAAAGAAATATTAATAACAACCTGACGTGGCCACGCATTGTTGTGGCTGTTATAATCCGTTTAATTAATGCTATATTAAACTTTTTAGAAAGTTCTTAATTGATAATATAAAAATATAATTTCATAAATAAGGTAGATAATGTTAATTTTTAACTATTTTTGAAAATTATTTTTATTATTTTAAATTATAAAAATGTATAATGTTATCCATGTTGTCTTCTGCTTGTCACCAGTTATCAGATGCTGTTGCAAAATCAAAATTATTGATAAATACCTTAGAGTTATAATTATAATTATAACACAATATCAGACATATTATCCCAAAATCAAACCAGTTAATTTTTTCTTCCCACTCTCCTTGCTCTCTTTCTCTCATAGATAATCGAGATATGTACATTTCTATATTATAAATTTGACAAAATCACAAACATAACCAAAATCAAAATTAAAATTAATAGAGTAGTTTTAGAGCGCATTGTACATTTAATTTTTATACATGAAGATATAGTAAATACTGTCTTTCTTATCAATTTATTGGCAATATTGTATCAATGAAATATAAAATATGTATGTATAAGTACATATAATCAGTTCTAATGAAATATTAAATGTTGTGAAATAAATTCATGTTTAAATATTTTAGAATTAATTTCACCTTTATATTGAACACTAAACATAAAAATGAATTGAATCAGCACAAATTTTTATCCAATTAGAAATAATAATATTGAATTAAACACATTTTGTAAATTTTTAAAGACCACTGTTTACAATAAAAACAAAATTATAATTTTCTTACTGAACAAAAAAATAAAATACTTCATGGTATGTAAATTGAATAGTCATTACAATAGGAGTTATATGTTATTTTATATTTGAATCCATACATTTAGTTTATTGACATTCATATATTATGAATTAATGTATCAGTGTCAATAACACATATTGTAACATAAAGCTATTTAATTCTTATACCAATTAATAGTTCAACAATTTACAATCATTTAAGAATGATTCAATTAAATTAAAATTGGTACACTATTTTTATTTATGCATACAAAGAAAAACTAATAAACAGTAACTACAAAATTATAATATTATGTAAACCATATAATAATAGTAATATTTATTTAAAAAAATAAAAATATAATTAATTAAAAATATTATGTTATTAAGAATACCTATAGATATGGTCATTTTTAGTTATACATAAAAAAGTATACAACCACACCAAAAATAAAATAGGTTTAAAGCACATAATTTATGTTTTCCAGCCAAAAGCAAAAATAAATTAAAAGCAAGAACTATAAATTGTGAAAATTCAAACAAAAAAAAAATGTGCAAATAATCAACACTCCAAAACCTAATTGCTTACCTATTATTATTACATACTGCAGATTGATTCACAGGTTTTTTAAGAAAACTACGCGGTAAACTTGCACTGCGGTATCTGATTAAAAAATAAATTTATTTTTAAAATGACTATAGTAGTCATTGACAACACATGTATAATGGATTCAATTTAAATTTATAATTGAATGTTGATAATATTTAATCCCACATTTAAAGGCCAAAAAATTAAGATTTGCTAGACTTAAGTATCATATCTTAATATTTGAGTATGCTTACTTTGAACAATTTGTTTTTTGCTGTTGCTGCTTGCACAAAGAAAATTTTCTTATTCGCATTAAGTCTGTTGATTTTGCAGGTGATAAACTCAATGAATCTAACAAAACTTGATTAACAGATTCTTTGGAACCTCTAGAGTTTTCTGTTTGGCAGGATAAAGGTTCTAATTTTAATGATAATCTAAATACAAAAGTAGAAAAGTTAAAAATCATTAAATTATAATTTAGTACATTGTAGTACATACTTATATTGGTCATCTTGAACAAACTTATGCAGTTCTTCAATATATCTAATTGAGTTTAAATAATCATTTATCCTAGGAAACCGAATCAAATGATCATATCGACTCTGCTGCATATGTGATATTACTCTTAAAATGTTATTCATTTTCAGTCGCCTTGCTTCAGATTCTAATAAGCCACTACTTTTATGAGGATGTGCCATATCAACATATACCAAATCAGTCAAAAATACACCTAAACATATGTAAATATTTTTTAGAAAAATTAATAAATAAATAAATATACCTTACATATTTTATTATACATTTATTATTTACCTAAATAAGGTATGCATGGTAAACGTAAGGTTTCTAGGTGATCCCGAAGATTCCTCCAATTATTACATTCTGAGAAAACATTGGCTAATTTATCAAATGATTGCCGATCTTTCTTCGACACATTGCTCCACGATTTGGAAAGTCTTATCAACAATATAACACATTTTGAAATTGAAATTCAATCACTTTATGAATTAAAAACTTACCTATAAACTGAAGCACTTTGAAGGGAGGAAATAACGGCAAATAATGAATGGAAATTATTAAGGTCATATAATTTTTTGGAGATCTTAATAAACTGAGTAATCAAATCAGCACGCAGTTTTGGAGTAGTACCTTTCAATATTTCTTGAACAACCCAAAATGATACCTAAAAATTGATAGTTATTTTAAATTCAATCCAAAATATTTTGTTATTCAATTTTGTATTTACATGATTGAATTGCCTAGTAAATGCTACTACATTTGGTGCAACTTCTAATTTTTGCTTTTTGTTCCAAGAACATGAAGACAACTCTTCTGGAGATATTTGACTGAATATACTTAAATCTAATAATGTTAGTTGGGCAGCCCAATCTTCCGGAAGTATACCAGGAGACAAAACACCTTTAGCCTTATCAACATCTTTTTCATCAACCGGTGAAACACTGTAAGGATGTTTTAATGTCATATTACAAGGAAGACTATGAGTTTTACATTGTCTTGCCAAACCACTAAAAAATAAAATAAAAAATATTTTAGTAATTTATTGTACACAAAATTAATTCTCAACATTCAAGTACTAATAAACAATACATTATATTATACTATAAGTAATTTAACAAAGTTTATATGATACGCAAAATCAAAATATCCCCAAATATTATGATACCAAATTACTTGTGAACAATCATTTTATCCTTTTTTGTTATAAGTATTATTTAGTTATCAAGTCATCCCGGCACTTGTAAACACAAATATGGTACCAAATACAAGGACTGTGTAAAATATTTTGTCATTAAACATTAATGCATTTAATTATATTACATTTCATCTTTTGAAAACTTTTTGTTTTAATTATAATGTCAAAATAAGTAAACCATTTTCGACTATAAGTTTTTGAGTTCATTGAATACTTAATTGTTTTTATTTCTAGTTAAAATTGTTTTAATACGAATACTGAAATCATTCAATGAAAATTTTCAATAAAATAATTTTGTAAACAAGTAAAATATAAACCTATTATAATAGTTAAACATATCATGAATATACTATATTCTATAAGAATAAGTAATAGTAATAAATAATAACAATAAATTATATTACTTTATTTTATTTTCATATTTTTTTTAAAATTGTTTATACCCTACATAATTATAATAATAATGGCTGTTAAAAGTATACAAAATATTAGTTTTTATTAATTTTATATATTTATTTACAAACAATTATGTCTACTCACCATGTTAATGTTTCTGAAAGACGTCTTCTATGCCTTTGTTCAAACGACGGAGTTGAAAAATTTGATGGATTTTTTTTCAAAGAGTTGTATGTGGTTAATTTTCTATACTCTGTGTTGGAAACTAAGTGTTCTAATTTATCATCATCATCGTATGCCTTTGACTTTACTTTCTGTATACAACACAACATTTTTGAACTTTTATAAAGATGTATAAAAATATTAGGTATAATTTGTAAAAATAATTTATTAAATAAACCACAGTTTTTTTTAATACAGTAAAAAATGTATATAAATTATTAATTTTAAGACAATTCAATATGAGAAAAATTTGAATACTGAACAATAAAATGAATGTACACTGATTGAATGCATTATCTTTACAATAAAATTACTATATTATGTATAGTTAACATATTTCATATCAATTAATGATAATAAAATTGGGTATGTATAACATAGAGTAATAATTACTCTATGATGTATAATAATATGTTATATATTGGCTACAGAACTAAAACTATTTAGTATTTTATTATTATAATAAACCGTTATAACTTAGGTACCTAATAAGTAATAATAATAATGTTTATTAAATTCAACGCAAGTTCAATGATATTAAATGGATATTCTTCTGCAATTTGATAAATTATCAAACAGAGAACACCTTTATCTATTTTTAATAAAAATAATTTAAAATGAAAAAAAAATTTATTGTATTTTACATTAAATTCATTTTAGAACATGATGATATAATAGAAATTAGTAAATTAAACCGATCATAATAAAGTTAAATAATAATAACTAATAAGTAATAATTAAAAAAAGATAAATCCATAGGGCATAATTACTATACGACACTGATATTTTTTAATGACAACATTCCTGTGTATTATAATATTTTGGAAACAAAGATAATGCAGATTATCCGTGAATTGTTCGTAGTAATCAAACCAAAAATAAACCATGCATGTAGGTAAGTAGGTACTTAACTAGTCTAGTCGTAAAAATAAGCTATATAACTAGAAATCAATGATTCTCGAGAAAATAATACAAAAAATACAAAATGAACGTAAAGTTTTTGTAAAGTTTGAATATTATATCTTATGTAAATTACATATTATATACATAATAATATAATAGGTATGTCTTACGTCTTTTAAATACTGGTATTTTACTACTTCGTGTTGTAAGTCAGATAAATGTATTAAAATTTTAAAACTTTAAGAACGCAGGAGTCAGAGGTTAACGTTAACCTCCTCCCACCTGCACGATATATTAAAAAAATTATTAAGTATATTTTTATAGAGTAAAAGTGGTTTCTATCAACCAACTTTTTGTAGTATAAAAACGTACATTTAACTCCCTACTCAATCCTAAAGAAATGACTATAATTTTTATATTTACCTATTATAAAAAATGTCAATGTTCGTTCCAAACACCAAATTTGAAAATCATGACTTAACATTTCAATTGCTACGTCATTCATTGCTCCCATCCAATATCAAGGTTGCATACTTTTATAAATGAATTTATTAACACTATATAATATTACTACTACTATCGTTGATCTATGAAGTATGTATAATCATCCTGATTTTATATTTTATGTACACGATCCACGTTATCTTATTAATGAGTATTAACTCCAATAAAATTTTACTATTTAAATTATGTACGATTTATATACGTTATTTTAAAATACGAATAGTTATACAGTATATACCGTATACAAAAATAAAAACATAGGTACAATGTTAATAAACAACAACATAATACAGGTCCTAATTTATTTAGGGATTGTAGCCATTTATTTTTTAAAAACATATTCATTAAAATTCTGATTTTTTGGAATATATTTTATTTGAACTTTTAAGTATATTTAATGACCATACTTTTAAATAATTAGATTATTTATACTATTTAATGAATATTGTTTAAGTACTTATTGGTTATAGACTAGTCGTCAACCCGAATTCACCAATAGTATTACCAGATTATCAGAAGACCTTACGTCAGTTTCGATATTTACGATAGATATTTCTCTGTATTTTTTTGATTATACATATAGGTTAGTGTAAAATAATATGATTTAATAATGGAATAAGGGTAAATACTTATAAAAATTTAAATTGTATTTTATTTATTTTAATCGTGTAATATGTCGCTGGATTGTCGCTATATTGTAAGTAGGTCATATAATGTAGTTTAAAGTAGCAAAGTTCATACCTATTTTTTTTATATTATGAAATATACAATCTTTATAAAAAGTACAATAAGGATATGTGCTAAAATACTTATCAACATGAATTTTCGATTAAGAGACAACCCTACTAGTGGCATTTGACTGAAAATTTAATAATTTAATCTTATTTTATTATTATAATTTTTATTTATGCAATTATAAGATTTATAACAGGTCTCGACACCAAGTTCTTTATAGGCGACGCCTGGGGTTGCCAGGTATTGTTTGGGTGTGGAAGTTCTACATAAGTGGGTTGTAGTAATTTTGGAGACGATTATGAAAACGTTTGTAGAATTGACCAGCGTCTTTAATTACATTTTTCACAGAGTTATCTTCATGCAAGGAGTAATTATAAACAAAAGGTGGAGCATTTGTAATTTTCCTAAGTGCTATATTTATATTTATCTTAAAAACATTATAAATAAAATAAACATTATGCTTAGTGATCACCTATATAATCTTGAATTTTTCCCGATACCTCACTTAAGTAATCGTTTATACATAATGTATTAATTCAAAATTACAAATACTGGCTCTATTATGTATTATTATAATTAATTAAAAATAATTTTTGTACAATCCATCATATACGGAGAAAGGGAGCTAAGCCTGCAATCAACAACAATATACGTAAAACAGAAGAAAAATATAAATATATGATATTATTATGATCAAAGGTATTTTTCTCTTATAACTAATTTTTATAAATTGAGTGAAACTATAAATTATGAATACAGCTGACACGACAAAAAATATGTATTACTTCACGCTTAAAGAACATCATAATATTTAAACAATTGACTTTTTTTTTAGAAAATAACTATGAATATCCAGACATAAAATAAAAGCTATACATTTTATTATTTTATATGACACCGATTACCGAAGTCTGAATCTCCGCTACGCTTGCCGACAGTAAATTATTATTATTAATCGTTTTTCATTCTAAACATTAAAATTAATTCAAGGCAATGACCAACCATTGAATTCAAATAAACATAACGACATTAGTATAATTTATAATAGTGTACACTAATGTTGATTTACATTTTGATGTTCACAAAGTTGTTCTTGAATAATGATAAAATGCACAAGGTACAATGAACTTTAATACACTAGTAGGTACTGCACAATATTATAACCATGTTTGCAGTATCTATTAATCTATTATTCGTATATTAAACGAGTACGTCATATTTTAAATAATTTAAGACACTAGCATAATTTAAGAACCTACTAAACATACTACTTACTATAATTGTTATTATTATTAGTAGTAGTAGTAGTAGTAGTAGTAGTATAGTAGTAGTAGTAGTAGTAGTAGTAGTAATAGTAATAATATACTGAAACAGATTTCTCAAATTTGAAATCCAAAAAATATAAGTAGGTATAAAATCCTTTAATTAAGGTAATTTAAAATCTATTATTTAACTATTACTATATCAAAATGCACTAGGTTACTGTTATAGCATAACATAAATATGCAATAGTGCATATCGCAACAAGTAATTTCCCACGTTTAATCGTATAAGGTGCCGCATCGGTCAAAAATAACAAAATATATTTGATTCCACTAGACTTCTAATCATCTCATGTCGTCTTCGTCAAAAATTTATAAGCAACTACCAGACGCTCATTATAGCCATAAAATAATAATATGATTTGAATAAAGACATCAAACATTTTTGGTAAAGGAACCTTTGTGTCATGAAACACACATTTTGTTTTAAATTAAATCATTTTTTTTCAAATAATATGTATAATTGCATAAAGTTTCAGCGAATTATTATTTTTTTTTTTATAATAGCATTTTAAAGTAATAACTAAATAATTAATTAACTATATTATGATATAATAAACATTATTTTAAGAGCTATTCTACAGTGATAATTAACAAATGGAAATATTCCTTTTACAAAGTGTTTCATGGTGAACTAACAATTGCAATACCATTTGTTCTATTGAACATTTTCAACTTTTTTTTCTTTTTAATTATCAATTATCATCTGCAATACATATAAATTAATTTTTTGATTTTTTTTTTTTTTAATTTTCCATCTGATATTTAACAAAATCAAAATAGCCATTTTGTTGATATAATTTTTAAAACATGTTCGAAATAAATAAAAGATGTTTAGCCGTTTAATTTCTACGATTTTTTGAAGTTTGAACAATTGTATATTATTTCAAATAGATTTTCTGGATAATCGATAGTTGATAATCATTGTAACATTGATAAACAAGAAAAAAATTTGAATTTAAGCAAACTTTAAAAATTGTTTAAAAATTATTGACTCGATATTAGTAAAAGTTTTTGATACTAAATTTTTTCTAAAAATGAAATTCACAAAATGGCTATTTTGATTTTTTTAAATATCAAATAGAAATTTTTTTAATTTTACATAAAAAATGTTAAAAAAAAAAAATCAAAGAATATTTTAAATGGAGCGCAAATAACAATTGACAATTAAAAAAAAAAGTTGAAAATGTTCAATAGAACAAGAGTTATTGCAATTGTTAATTCATCGTGAAATACTCTCTATATATATAATTGGTTTATTATTTTTAATTTTGTAAAATCCTTTATAACATTGGATGTTTTATTTTTAGATTAAGATTAAATCTCTATACTCATTGATAAGATAATTTACAAAAAAGAATCCAAATATAAAAATTTTACTTTTTGTTTGTTATATTTTATTATTCGATATAGGTACCTATTTTTTCATTTTTTAAATATAGGTACAATATTATAGTTTATATTTTTATATATTTAAATGTTTGCATTCTAATATAAATGTAGCAGTATAAAAACACAATAGATACAATTTTTAAAATATTAAAAACTACGAAACTTATAATATTAGGTATGTTAATACATTATATTAAATTTGTGAAAGCGTTACCTCAGACACGTTAAGCGAAGGGAAATTGTCAATAGAAACATCTCTGGGCATATCTGCATACCTCATCTTTGCCATAGATAACTAATATTCATTATTCAGTCTGTAAATAAAAATAAACAATTACAGTATAAAACTATAAATATATTTACTTAAATAGAAAATAATTAAAACAATTATAAAGCAAGCAAATTTAAATTATTTATTATTTACAAACATAACTATGAAATACTCAAAAAAAAAAAAAAAAAATTAAAACGGTATTTTAAAGATATTATTTATTAAATTATTTCGATCAAAATTATTATGAGAGAATTGTTTGGAGAGAAGTTTTTTCAATATTGTACTGTATTATGAATATAATTTCTAAAAATATCAAAAAATGATTGATTAAATATATTTGTATATGGACAAATGATGTATGTATGAGACAAAATATTCTATTAAACATTTCTGTTTTTTATACAATTAGTTCATGAACGCAAATAAGTTATTTAGTTCATAGGTATATTTAAAGGGGAAAGTGTTACAATCAAAATATAATCGCGTATAGTATAAACTATAAAGAAAAGTGTAAACACCTTAGATAATAATATATTTAAAAAAATGGTAAACACCGTATAATGGTAACAGGAAACCGAACCGGTGTAATGCTTGAAAAAAATACTTTATACTAAATATTGTATATTAATAAAACACATCAATACATCATAACGAAGTATGAATAGGAGTGCCAAAGGTTGAACAACTACGATATATATAATATAAGTTACAATTATAATATGAATTGTTATTCGTGAAAAATAAGCAGTCAAAAATTTCATGTAGGTTATGTTAACCTTCAATTATCTAACTAGAAGCTGGACAGTTTTTTTTTATTGACACGAGAACGTAAAGGAAGTATATATAATATTACAATTAATGTTTCTATTAAAATAAATTGAACTAACGGGCATGTGATATACGATATAATTTACGTGTATCTATTTAAACTGAAATATTATTAAAATAACATTTTTAATATTTTTTCAGAGCAATGCAAAAATATATAAGCAATTAAATGCATTTTAACATTAAAAAGAATAATAATTACTATTATTATTTTGTATATTCCTAATCTAAATTATTATAGTCAATTAATTTATTATTAAATTTAAATATTTTCACTTTTTCATTTTTACTTAAATTATGATATCTGTCTGAGTAATTTAAAATTGTAAATTTACTTTATTTATATTTATAAAAATAATAGTAAAATGATTTATTTCGCATGTAAAATTTGCTGTTATGATGTGTTAGATTAAGACAACACATTTGAATATGACGTTCTCTTAATCTCTTATTAGGTACCTATGTATTTTTATTTATTTTTTTGTTAATGGTGATGCATTGTCACAAAAACTCATAAAATTGAATTCACTAAAAAAAAAAATAATAATTTGATACTTAACATTTCATTTATTCAAATATTAGATTATTTGTATAATAACTTTTATTTTTTGTATTATTTAAATCAAAACAAATTAGATAATGAATGAACTGCATCCGGTCAACCAGCATTGATTGCATTTATTCAACCATTGCCTATACCCGTGTTGTAAAAATAACATATATTATGAAACTGTTGTACAATGAATATTATAATATGTAAATAATAACACCATAGTATTTTTTCTAGTTACTTGTTCTCAGATTCTATTGAAAAAAACAGATTTTAATTTCTTAATAAAGTTATAACTAAACTAATGGATAATAATTTCCAAGTATCTAATCATGTTTGGAATCCAGCCAATTAAATTATTTAATCTAAGTCTAACTAAACCAATTTGTTATAAATAACTTTCAATAATTGTATTGCATCCACTCTAATAATAATAGATTTTTCTAGTTTTCCCGAATTTGCTGTAAAAACATCGTTTAGTAGAAATGTTCTAAAAAAAAAAAAAAAGTCAAAATAATACAAAATTTTAAAATCTAACTCATTACTAAGTTTTTAAATTACCTAATTACTTTTTGTTAGGCGGTTAAATGTAAAAATAGTTCAACATTTTAAACTTGAAACTAAATTATTTTATAAAAATAAGATCAAGGCTGAGTTCATATTTTTTTCAGAGGGTTGGATTTTTAACCGCATGATTTAGATATAATGTTATACACTTCATTCTAAAATACAATTTAATACTTTGTACATAGGTACTCGTTTTTTTCACAAAAATGTATCTTATACGGATATATAAAGTATAAAATATATACTAGTGCATAATTTATATCCCTAGGCTCAACCACCAAACATGTACGTATTAAGAATAAATATTTAAATTTTTTATTTTATATTATAATTTATATTCTATAAATTATTTTTATTCATGGGCTTTACAGAATTCGACTTCGTAGTTCACGTGTACATATTATTAACTGCATTATACTTGGACTATCTTATAGATAAGACAGTAATGTCAAATTCAAAAATAGTTCTTCATTCATGTACGGTCAATAACCCACAATAGCAATAATTTTCTTGCTAGTGTCTACTGACAATACTGTTATTTGATCTATAAACGATTTGCAACAAATACGATGTGATGAGACTATGAGACTATTATAAAATCGATTCTTATAAAAAAAACTATAAATAAATGTTCTTAAAAATAGTATTATTTTATTTCTAAACATTTAAACAATAACTATAAACAATATTTTACATATTATATATTTTGCGGTTTTACTTGTACAAACACTTGCATAATATAATATATTTATTTAAATACTTATCTGAGTGATTAAATTAACTTGTAATAAATATAGAATAATATGATAGTTAATTTTATATCCTTATATTGTAACAAAAACCTTGTAATTTTAATTTACATATATACATTTTTAAGTAAATTAAAATAACAAGATAACATATTAGTATAACATGACAAATATATATAGTATAAAACTAACTTAAAAATAATAATGCATTAATTAATTTTATAATATAATACAATATTATACTTATTTTTAAGTATTTTAAAATATGTATATCAAATTTAAAAAACAATAAAAATAACATAAGTATTAAAAAAATTGAATGATGAAGAAATTATTTTATTCAAGCTTACCTACCTAATAACTAATAAGTAATAGAAAAAGATTGCATTGTGTAATACATTAATAATTAAATACTAGGTATTAATTTTTAATAAATAATATCCATTTAAATTAAGAAATTTTAAATATTATATTACAACATAACTTATACTCGTAATATAACATACATACAGAACATGCCCAGCTGGTAGACCCGTGACTACCTTCCCTGTTTTTAAACACTTAAACAGTATTTTTTTTGTCATAATTACTTTTTTGGAAAAGCATTTACATTATTTTACTATTAGAAAAATGATACGAGCTATATTGAAATAAAACTAAATGGAACGGTGTTTTTATATATGCAAGTTATATTTAGGAGTCCGCTGTCGGCATTCATTACCATTAAATAAAACGATACTAACAGAAAATAATAGAATTAAATAGTTTAGAACCAACTACTAATTTATTTTTAGTTAAACCTTTGAAAAACGTTAAACTCAAATAGTTACAAGTAAAATGTGAGTTTTTTTAACATTTGTGTCTTATCTTTATATTATACATAGATTATTCAATAATAAAAATAATTTATTCTTTATTTTATTTTATTTATAATAATATTATAATTAAATTTAAACAAAATGGCTATCCAACTTTTTAATGTATTCCTAATACATAAATGACAATAATAGTAGGTATTATTATATTATAGAATACCTAGTACCTACATCAACTAGTAACTATGATCAAAAATATTAAAACTAAATGTCAAGAACTCAATTTCCAATAATTTTTTCTACTTTTAATTCTGATGCAAGTTTGAATTTTAATGTACAAACAGTTCAACTTATCATTAACTTAAACTTTATAAAAGTGTGATATACAATAAAGTTTCCAAAATTCATGACATAAGCATATAGAATATAGATAATATATATAATATGTAGGTATACTTGAATTGAATATTTATTTATTAACAAAATTATTAACTTATACTCAGAATACATACAAATAATTGTGGCCTATGATTAATCCATTAATTTTTATTATATTAATACATTTTTCATTAAATCCAGTATTAATTTATCCACTTAGAATCATTTTTCTTAGTTCTGGTTTTTAAATTTGTTAAATTAATAATACTCCATTACTTACAAGTAGCAAGGAAAGTAGCCTATCTAAGATAGGTAATAAGTAATGTAATTATATGTTGACATAATATCATTGGATAAGTAACTTAAAAATAATAAATAATGGTTAAGTTGTCACACGCAGATCACGGTTAATTCCAACATAACTCTTTCATCACTGATAAAAGGGACAACTCACATTGTAAAGATAACGTAGAAATGCACATGTGTTGGTGACAATAGATCGCAAGACGTGACTTTTTGTGTACCAATAGAGACTGGGGAAGGCTGAATAAGGGTCTCTACTGCCAAGGAGAAGGCTAGTCCTGGGAGAACACAGAGGCCTTTGATAAAGTCGTCAGCCACTTAAACTGGTTTGACTATATTGTCACTTTAATCAGTGTATGCACACAAATTATTCAAGCAACATCTACCAAAATCAGATTTTGCAAGCAACAACTGAACTTTACTTTTCAAAGAGCTAAAGCAATGTTGTTTTTTTTAATTGAATTCACGTGTTTAGAGTTGTTTTTTTTTTTGTACCACCTTACTTTTTTTGACAAGCATAACATATGCACTGCTGAGAATCAAGTAAGGTGTATGATCATAATATACTCTATATTATTATTATAGTTTATATATTAAATTTATAATACGGTATACTTGATCAAATTCTTGACTATGTGACATAGAGTACACCGAAGATCAAGAAGAAGATAATAACAAAAATTTTATATTTGTATCTGGTAAGTGATTATATTTTCCAGCACTTATAAGTACATGGAAGTATCTCCCAGATCCAGACTCTTCTATTGTAGACCTAACTATCTTTTACAAGATACTGTTTTGGTCTCCACAATTATAATTTTCAATATCATGCCTACCCTTTTTTCTTTTCTTTTTTCATTATTACAGTAGGTATAATTAAAACTATAGTTTAAATAAAATTACTCATTTATAATTTTATCTTTGTATATCAGTCTCATAATTACATTTTTAAACATAAAAAGTATTTATTAGGTATAGCTAATAAGATAAATTATTAATTTAGGTGAGTATAAAAATATAAAAATATACAAAAATATTATTTACTTTAAAAAATTTACTCATATTTTAACAAATCACAATACTACATTTATTAATATAAGTAGTGGGAAGTAAATATCATCTCGGTATCAACAATTTAAAATAAAATATGAAAACACATTTAATAGAAAACATAATATTTAAGTTGGAAATTAAACCTAAATAATTGATAATTATACTTTAATAGGTAGTAACTCTATATCTGATTGTCATGATAAATTGACATAGGTACCTATTAGAAATAATTAGTAAAAGACAAAATAACATTAAAAATATATCCAAACATTCTAAGATAAAATGTAATTAGTGAAGTAGTTAAATTAAATAATTAACGTTTATATGGTATATTAATACAAATACACCATAATATTAACTATGAAAATCATTTTATAACTTTAAAACAAGTGTCTACTAATATATTATACATAATTTCATAAAATAGTAGTATAATTTATAATAGGTATTATTTTTGTTAAAAAAAATTAAATTGACACTTAAATTCTAGTTTTAAGTATATGTGAGTAAAACCATGAAATGTAACTCGTGAAGTATTAATACAATAAAAACTATAAATTATACATTACATTCTAAAATAATATTATACTAGGTAATAAATATTGAATAACTATATCTAAATAAATAGTTACAGGACAATAACTCTAATATAACCATCTAGCACAGTATAAGTTTGATTAATTTAGATTGTTTATCACATAGTTTTGTTTTGTTATCTAGTCCAATATTTGTAAAACCCATAAAATAAAATGCATAGCATATAGAAATATTCAAATTAGGTAGATAGGTAGTCAGTAAATAATAGGCAAGTGTAAGACCTCACCTAACCTAACTTAAATCTTAGCATTAAACAGATGATTATGAAAAGCACTACAAAAGCAGTTCCCCTATTATCGTCGGCTTAAAACAGAAAAACAGTTAAGTAGATAGTAAGTAGTAATATATTATATGGTTAGTAGGCAACGAAATGTGTCATAAGCATATGGGAAAGATATTTCCAATTCAAATTACTCAATACATACAAATATATAATAAAATATATACATAAAAATCTAGCAAAGACTAATAGTATAAAATAAGAAAATAAATTACTTACGCGGTTGATTAAGAACAAAATCTCTGAGCAGGAGTAGCTTGGTATCAAAGGTAGTTGTTTGGAAGTATGATGAACGGTGTTGTAGACAAAAGAAAAACTGCGACGACAGGTGTGTTCTGCTGTACTTGTTTTTAATTGGCCGAAGCGGTTAAATCTTTACGTTATGGTCGACTATCGGTCAGACGGAGTTTTTTTTTCACGTGGGAGAATCGAGAAGCAACGAGACGCGATCCTGAGGAAAATGATATATTATTAAGGATTCGCACCAAGGCGTCGTGAAGTTTTGTATTCGTGACCTACAGAAAACCGCGAAACGGGCGCCGAAAAAACGCGTACACAAATAATCAGTCGGAAGGAAACGTTAACTAAAAAATACAACGGATACGGAAGTCTAGACTCGTTTGCACAGTTGCACTACCTACCTGTAGTGGCAAAGGATCCGAGGTAAACGTATGCTGCCGTTTCACGACGTACTGGACGTCACTGGTGGTTGTTGACGTTGTCGCGTACTCGCGTGTAATAAGTAATAACGATATTATTATAATTTATAATGCTGAAATATTTTATTATTATTAAATAATAATATGATAAACACAACAGTGATAATAGTAATAGTAATAATAATAATAATAATAATAATAAATAAGTTCCGAGCGCGCACGACGGCCGACACAAACAGTGCGTTGCTTGCCTATGCCCTATACTGATCGGTCTGATCGTTATCACTCGGCCGTCCGTAGCGTAATCAGTCTTTAGTCGTTGTACAAGTAGTAAAACGCGCAAAACACGCCCTCCACCGCGCAACCGGAGCACCGTCGACTCGACCAACTGGCTGTTGTCGTTATGTTTGTTATAGTAGTTTTATAATAATGAATGAGAAAAATTCTGCCAAAGCGGCAAAACAGCAGCTGCAATAGGTCGCAGCGGTCGCGCTCCACAAAACATAACATTTCGTCATTATTTTCATTATTATTATTATATTACCTTATGGCTTATACATACGTCGTTTAAAATATAAAAACACGATATAATATAACATGATCATACGTTATTATTTTACCTACGTGCTTTATGTAGCACTGTGATTTGTAGCATTTACAATTAAAGACAGCTGGAACGCCGTGTTTCACAGTTAAACTGTTTCATTTAAATCGAATAATATTAGTTTTTATATTATTAATTTGTATTGCCGTTTAAATAATATTTAGGTATCTAAATTTTAAGAAACTATTGTGTTATGTCCATTGACGTCCTGGAAAACAGAGGACAACAGACTAAAATATCTATTACATTACAGTATTACATATTAATATATTATACAAAATAACTTAACCCTTTTAAAACGTAGGTATAACTCGCACTGTACCTACTTATTGAAGGGGCTTATTTCGAGCGGGAAACCGTTGTGCCCTGGGGTTGCGGAAGCGGCTCATGTCATCAACCTAACCGTGCCTGAGCAAAATTGGCGCGCCGGGAGGGAAGTTTGAGGGTGTCTGGCTCTCAGGAGCTCACCCTGACACGACTGTCCGAAGGAAATAACACCGCGATTAAATAAAAGGGTGAAGTGTCGCTGGCCTAAAAACCGGACGGACTGTTCAAGCCCCGTAACACACGAAAAGATGTACCTACCTACTTATTACCTATGTAAATTGTAATATAATATTAATCATTTTTCATAAATATATATATTACATAATTAAATAATAATCAAATTATTCAAATTGAAGTTGTTGTATGAAACTTTTATAATATTAATATAAGTGTCCACATTGTAGCATATTTTGATAATATTATTCCAAGCTAATAATTTGTTGACAAAAACGTAGGTAGATGAAAATTTTTAACTTCAACTTGAGCATAATCTAGTCAGTTGCTTTAAAAATGTATGTTCATCGTAGGTTGTATTGTTACAAAAACTCAATTATTAGCTACTATAAACTTGAATACATTAACTATTTATTTTCATTACAAAATTCTAGAGTAGTAAGTTAAGTTTGCATTTGATATTAACAATCGTATAGTATTCAACCGTCGCTAATCAAAGAATGTGGTTATTAATAATACTAATTTGAAAATAATTTAACTAAATAAATACAAAAAAATTCCAAGGAATTAATGTAATTTATTTATGAATTTTCAATTCTTTTAAATAATATACATGAATACGTTATAGATACTTAGGTACATACACTGATACACCTATACTATAAGCTATAAGACATCTGACTAAATATATTTTATAGATATCTTAATCGTTCATAATGTATATTATGTATAAAATATAAATTATCATAAACACATAAAAGTATTTATAATAATAATATATATAAAAGTACTAAGTTTAAGGACACTTTTAAATTTCATTAACTACAGTCTTTAGTACTGTAAAAAAAAAAAACTTAATAATAAACATTTTTTTAATGAGCCAGTTCAATTTCTACAGTACAAAATTCCATTGAGTTCCTTCGATTTAATTAAAATTCAAGTATAGTGAGAACATGCATGAGTATATTTTAATTATTGTATGGAAATATCTTGAACTTTGATGTAATTTTTTTGGAGTGGCCTCTCTATGCTTGTATAGAAACTTAAAAACTAAACTCAATGAATAACGAATACCTACACAATATGGATTTCTGGTGATAAGATATCTTATTGTATATTTCTGATACATAGTTATTAATCATTAATTTTTTTTAATTTTGCTCATTGTTAATATTTTAATAAATCATTTTCATAAATGTATCCTTTGCCTATAAAAATGTAAAGCTATTGATATATTGTTAATGTGATTTTTAATGTAATTTATACTTTGTTTTAATTTTTGTTATAATATTTTTTTATTCTGTTAATTTAAGCCGATCATGTTAAATATATATGCAACGTAATCCCTTTCTGATTAAAAAAAATATTATAGTATTATACACATTAATGTTTCTTTAGTGAAAAAATAATATACGAGTATCATATTGATAATCACTAATTATTATTTTAGAATTTGTTCAGAAGGGCAACATAATTAGGGAAGCTCTAAGTATTTGTAAAACACTCATATGATATAAATCATATCATTATAAAGTATAAATAAATAAATGGTACACTTTTTTAATGTGCCTTTATAATATCAATACGATGTATAACTAGTAGGTTAAATTTCAAGAGTGATTTCGGGTTCAAACTATTGTTAAAACCTCAAGGCCTTAAGAACTTAAAATAATTTAAGTGTTGTTATTTTTAAGAATATGTACAATAATGCAGGCCACTGCAGTATAGAAATCTTTTAATAAAAATTATAACAATGACTTTGGAAAAAATTAAAAATAATTAGGTTGCTAAAACTTTTACAGCCATCTACATAGTAATCAAGGTTAAAACAATGTATAAGAAATGACAACAATTTTGTTATTAAAATCGGGATATGATTAATATTATTTATATATATATATCATATTTACAACGGTTCTTTAGGCCTTAATGTTACTGTTGGCCAACTAAGTACATAATTTTATATTAAATTTCGACGTAAAAAATTTGCCCTTTCAAACCATTTTCTGCGAATAACTGTTATTATTGATAGATTCGTCGTATACTCGTATTAAAATATTAAAATCGCGTTGCTACTTGCTAACAATAAAATACGTATGTTTGACGTATATGTTTTAACTTCGTACCTGTAGTTTTGAGAAATGCAATAGCTTAACCGATGTTTATAATTTATATTGTATTAATAAAATTGAACAGTATAATCTAAGCTTTATATATTATGTATATTGTTAGGTACCTACTATGTAAGGGTGAATATTGCTAGACGTTTTTGAGTGAATAAATCGTCATTGGGGTAAAAAGTTCTGAATTTATAATGTTGTAATGCCTTTATTGTATATTATAATATATTATCGTTTACTGTATAGATATTTTATAGGTTACACACTTACACAATATTCACACCGTCAGCTCCGACCCCTTGGTCTTTATCGGTGTATATATGTATGAAACAACTATATTACGTTTTCTAAATACCACAATGATAAGGCTTTGTATACGTCTCCATACTATATGGAATAACAAAGAGGGACTTGAAAATTAAAACTAAACGTATGGAAAGTAGAACCGAATATTGGATTAATTCAATGAATTTTTATTCAGTATACGTATTTCAGTAAGATAATAATGGTTCAGAAACTCAATTAAATTTTTTTCATGAAATCGTTTTATAAGATAACAGTGTATTGTGTATGATGCAATAGATTTATGTTTATTTCTTTCAAGTTGGTATTGTTATCTTTAGAGTTTAGTTGGGTTTCTATCAGTCCTAACCATTTTGATTTTTGAAGTTAATTTCCTTTTCAAACTTTGTCGCGCATTATTATCTATTTCGCTGAGACTTAGGTTTGGACGTGTAAGTTTTTTGTTGCAATGTTCCTTTGATTTAATTTTATGATATTTTATTTAGTTGCATTTTAGATAATTAGTGATTATCCTGTATATTATGTTATGTCTTTTCATATGTGGCGTGTGGTTTCTAATAATTGTTATTTCTAATTGTTATTTCTAAAATTTATTGATAATACTTAAAAACAACAAATAATGAAAATGAGTTTAAGATCTTTCTCTATGATTATTAATTTCATTATATATATATATGTATAATATCAACGCTTTAGAATGTATACACATTGCTTATACGCATTCAATAATTACTACCTATATATAAATGTAGAAAGATTATTAGAATGAAAATATGGATTTATAGTTTTGATATTGCTAATTATGTTGGCAATTTCGTCATAATATATAGCTGTTTTTGAAGCCAATATTTTTTTGGTTTATTTATACATGGCTAGTTTTGAAATTGGCTTTGTGATATAGGTGGTTCTGAAACAAACATTGAAACATTTTAATAACAACAAAACATTAATTTTATTTCATACCTTAGATAGATTAAAACTTTATTTGACTATATTTTATTAACACATTTTACCGCGAAAAAAAAGATGTTTGATTATGGCCTGTTTTGAAATAAGCATTGTTAATCGTTAGATTGGCGATTTTGAAACCAACCCCAATTTTCCATGATCAGTTTAAAATAGTTATAGCCTTGTTTTATATTTAATATTTTTACAGAATCTGTAATACAATATGACCATTTAGGATCTTAGGAAACACAAAAAAACAATTTTGAAAAAATGTTCATTTAGCTGATTTTTCAATTACACACCTCATATCAAAGCAATAGTCATTGTAATTATATTTTGTTACCTATAATATAATATAAGTAAATGGATAAATTATAGTAGCATAAAATTTCGAGAAACTACAAATAAAAATTGGCAGCTACAAATTACAATTAAACGGCCAACTAAAAAATATTCAATAATAATGGTAAGTTATCAGTGATAATTTTTAACATTCATTAGACACTTGACAATTAACTCCGAAACATAAAATTATAAAATATTGCTATAACGAACCTAAGCAAGTATCTATAGACTTTAATCGAGTTTTATAATTAAAGGGTGAGTAGGTATAGTTATAGTTAATGCTATTGGTAATTTTAAGTAAATAAATTACAATTATTGAAGACAAATAGTGAGAGGCTTTTAATTTTTTACAACATATTATTGAACTTAAGACATTTATTTTATCATCCTTGTACAATATAATTTGTGATTGATATTTTATATGGTTATAACTAACTAGAATTTATATTATGATTTAAGTTTGATATTTTCTTTCTGTT